AAGAAGTTCTTGAACGTGTACGCGTTGGAGAACAAGACCTTTTTGGTGCTGGGGTAGTGTCTACGCGTCAAAACTTTAAGACATGGCTCATCACACCTGAACGCTGCGCTGCAAAACAGAACCAGCGGCAAAATGTCCACCCAGACAATCTACAACGCTGGTTTACACAGGAGAGAATCACCTGGGATTACAAACTTGAATTGGTTCCTGGTGTTTGTGTAAGTTGGGACGGAAATCCTCATCAAAAATATCGCATTACAGAGCGAACACCATGTATGGTGTATCTAGTGGAACATTCCCGCAATGGTCGGTGTTTAGGGCGTAGAGACATCAAGCATGTTCACATATGGAAAGAGACAATTGAAGAGGTCTTGAGACGCAGGTTCCAAGAGACTGAGCAGTAATAGTGAGACAATACATGTGTACTGGGGCTTAGGCCTACAGAAGGACCTGACGCAGAAAATTGACACAGGGTTACAGTCTGTAATCAAGAAAACGCGTCTATTAAGCGCAATGCTAGTATTCAACAAACACAGCCGTTCAGTACATCGCATATATGGGCGTATGCATTTTTAAAACACTCATTTACCGGTCGAATTTGTGGCATATCAGTTTTGATAACGCAAATTTATATAGAATACAAAACCAAACGTGCAAACAGCCTTCTTAAAGGTTGCTAGGTTCATATCGTACACAACCGTTTGATTTTTACACAACCGAAATAACAGACGGTGTATAGTCGAGTCCTTTTTCCCCCGAGTACCGAGTACTGCCATTAGGTTAACGAGTACGAGTACGAATACAAGTACTTCCGAGTAGAAGTACAGGTCTCCGAGTACGAGTATTTTATTTCCGAATACGGCCATACGGCAAATGGTTCATTGTGCGTCATTGGCCCAGGCCCAGTCAGACCGATATACAGACCCTCTCACAGCTAGATGTTAAATGTGTTTGTCTGGAAATGAACAGATGGGAAAAAGAAACTTTGATTTCTCCGCCAGCCAATCAACCATTTCAAAATGAAAGTATCGATAAAATAAGGCCTTGGTAATTCAAGCTATACCATTTTATTTTTTGAGCACTGCTATTCGAGTACGAGTATTTTGATGCTTGAGTACAATTTCGGCACGGTCGGGTACGAGTACTTTGCTGGCCAAGTACGAATACCGTCATTTCGAGCACGAGTATACTTTCACATTAAAATAAGAAAGAAGTACTACAACACTTGATCTAGGGCCACCAAGTGTCATCTATACAGTGTTCATACATGGGAGTCCATTGTAGTTAATGGTCATCCCTCACATAACACAACATACCGTAACTTAATTGTTCTTGGGTTAACAGACATTATGAGCTTGACAATCTTGATATGAATTCAATGATGAACCTGAAATTTCATGATAACATAATGGAACTGTGCGAATGTATACTACACGTGACTTGGGCACATGATTTGAGTCGTATTATACTCTCTTCCCCTTTGTGGAATTTGTGACCCGGTTGGGGGATGGTGCAGGTGGGGGGATGTTAGATGCAGACCCAAAATACCTGTCAATAATGTGAAGTACCAGTTGTCTACGGCTTTCATTGTAATCGTTCATGAAAACGTACATGTAGGCTAGGTCTTACTCTTTATAAAATGTATACATTAATGTTTACCTAGATCAAGATAGGTTCTTAAAAATTTCAAGAACCAGTTCTCTACAGCTTTCGTTGTAGTTTTTCATGAAAACATATATGTAGGTCTTACTTTTTATAAAATGTATATGTCAAATTTTACCTGGATCAAATAATTTCCTATAGTTATAGAGCGAAGTACCACTTTTCTACGGCTTTCATTGTAATTGTTCATGAAAACGTACATATAGGTGTTGCTCTTAATAAAATGTATGTCGATTTTTGCCTAGATCAATACGAGTTCTTACAAATGTGAAGTAGGCCTACTGGTTTTCTGTGGCGTTCGTTGTAATTGTTCATGAAAACGTACCTGTAGGTCTTACTCTTTATAACATGTCAATTTGTGTATAAATAGCAATGATGTGAAGCTTTAAAAGCAATTTCCAACACAATAACTTAAATGTTTTTAAACTTTGCGTGATCTTAAACAAATTCTCTGCCATCATTGTTAACTTTTTATTCTCTATGGAAGCACACGTAATTGTGATAAAGTGCCTTGCCTAGGGACACACGCACCCAGGGGAGTCAGAAACAATAACCATTTACTTTGTTGGAATATAAGTGATCCCATAATCTGTAAAAGTTGTGAGCTTATCTTCAAAAGTTTTACAGAGGCCAATCCGGTTGTGACCCTGATCATATGACGTTCCAACGATTACTCCTTGGACTGAAATAAAGTAGTGTTTGCTTGTATTTTATCAAATAATTGACCAATTCAGATAAACTGTGTATAGGCAAATGCCTGGTTTATTACTACAAAGATGTGAATTCATAGCTTGAATATGCATGTCACCTCAAGTACAAATCTACATGTATACACACTGTGCATATTTTTGTATCAATTAAACAATGTGTTTCTAACAGGTGCATTGTCAAGATAATTGCAGGTGCGAAAGTAACTGCTAAGATGCAATCAGATGAAAGGTCTAGGAAACCTGCACTAGAGAAGTCTTGCCTTTCAAGTTTTTGTGTGTGTATTGAATTTGTGGTATCTTTGACTTCAATCAAATAAACTTTTGAATTTTGTTGATAGCTTGAAAAGTTCTCACACCAATGTGACCAAATCACATGATATGCGATTTAATTGTGCTGTATGTAGCTTTGATTTACAGACCCTCAAAGAAGAGATATTCGATCATCAACCATAGTTTTTTGCCGGTTGGAATATTCGAGAACCCCCCCCCCCAAAAAAAACAGGAAAGTTTCGCACTTTATTGTCAGGCCCTTTTTTTTGTCAACAGCGGTTCATTGTTCCCGTCTTTATACAAAATGTTGCAGGTTAAAGCCCTTGGCATTTATAAAACACTTAGTGCAAAACACTTCAGCATTCCATATCAATTGCGGCATGCAAATGCTTTAACTGGCGCACTCTGTACGCAGTTGTAGCTGGCAGTTTCGAATATCCGAACATTCGGTCAAATGCAGTTTCAAGCATTCGAACAGTCCATTATTCGAATAAAAGACAGCCCTACATGGGATTTGGTCACATATGGGAGTAGGCGTTAGTTTATACTGTATGGTACTCCTTTTGAAATTTTAAAATATTGCAGTGTATCATAGCTTCAAATTGATTTTTTTTTTCAAGTAAATAGTGAGTATACAGTGTTTAAAAACGTCGGTGAAGGGCAAAACCTAATTTGATAAATGGTGATTACTTTATAACCGAATTACTCAGATCTGTTGTAAAAGACAAAACGTAAAATAAATTGGTAGAAGATATCTTATTCTGTCCTGTGGTTTGCTACGTTCTGATTAATTTGTTGTCATGTGTAGATTTCCTTGCACTTCATGTTAAAAAAAATGGTTAAAAAACTGAGTTTCAATTTAAAGACAAGATGAAGACAGCATTTAAATGGCTCCAGCAAGAATATGACTTATAGGTGATATGCAACATTTGCAAACACCAAAAAATAAAACTATTAACTTTTTTTGTATATTTTCTTTTAGTCCCACAATTTGCCCTTGGTGATATGTATGTGGCCTGTTTTCGAGTAGTATAATAGGGGTGCAAGTGGCGCCACCAACGTCAAAATAGGCCGCCCCTAAAAAAAAAAAAAAAATCTTTTTCTGCGGCCAAAATTTTAGGGCAAATTTTTAAAAAAAAATTCAACTTTTAACAAATTTGTAAAAAAAATTTTTTTGAGCCCCCCCTTAAACCAAATCCTAGGTAGGCCACTGATTGTTACAAAATACCTTACTTGACTGTAAGTGGATAATAGTCTCAAGCATGCTGTGAAATCATAGAAGAAATTTCAGCAACATGCGCACGTCGGTTTAGAACATTTTACACTCTGTGTGCGCATCTACCTGATGGCTTTGAATACGCAGTTGTACTGTGCCTACCAAGATGGCTGTCTATGGGAGGGGTCTTTTCTCTATACTTTGATTTGGACTTTCTTTAGCCACTTTGAGTATGGCAAATCCCACGTTTACAGCCTCATTTTAACATAGTATCGTAATGTTTGTTTAGCATAGAAATAGTTCCAAAGTTAATAGTTTTAGTTGGATTGCCTTAAATTCAATCTCAAATCTTACAATCTGAAATTTCACAACCAAACAAACACACAAGCATTCTTTGCAAGATTAAGAGTTCATCCGAAGTATGTCTCTTAAAAATAGAGTTCCTTATTTTAAAGTTATTATCTAAATATACTACATATTGCACAGTGCAGCTGAATTCTGTCACTAAGTTCAACAAACAAAAAGACAACTTTCGAAACTAGAATTAAAAACTACTATAATGTTATACAAATAATGAATGTTTGTGAGTGCAATGATTAGAGTAATTTCATGAGCTGACGGATAGGAGGTTCCATTCCTCACAAATGGGGAGGTTCCATTCCACAAGGCGAGTGGAACGTTCCATCGGTAACCAAATGAAATTATTCTTCCCATTGCATGAATAAGAAACATTTATTAGGCCTATTTGTTTTATACAACACCTGAATAAATCCTCGTCATCTGATTAGTCAGAGTCAGAGACACCAAAAGTATTTAGATGTTATAAAGCCTGCAAATGGAACTTCCATTTAGAATGGAACTTGTATTTTTGGCCAAGTTCGCGCAAGGACTATAGTTGACCAATGGTTAACTAACGTTTGCCCGAACTCTGTCTAGTCGACGATGGTTGACTACGCTAGTCGACTATTCGGAACCAGCCTACTGGGGTTGGTTGCTTCGCTGGTAAGCAATAGCTGCGCGCATTCATAACGCTAGCAGAGAGCCAGGATCCAGACGTTTTGCGATGACATTTTGACCAGCGTTTGACTAGAGACGTTCGCACGTTGCTACCAGTGCGCAGGCGTAAGGTACGTCACAAATCAACCACTAGTCGACTAATGGTCCTTGCCCGAACTTGGCCTTTGCTGTGCGTGTCTTGGGACGAATAATTCAACAACACATGATCAACGACGCACTACGGGGATTTATTCAGACGGTGTATAATAAACTTTACAGGATATTCATCCTAACTAAATGTAAACGGACTTCACATCCGTTTAACTAAACGTAAACAACTTCACGTGTATCAAATTTGTCTTTTATCTTTCCAGCTTGAACATTTCTCTCTAGAATTCTCAAAAATCTTTGAGAACCTTGATATGTTTTGAAAACGCTTGCATAAGTGTCATTGCACAGTCCCATATACATATATATATATATCCATCTTTTATAAAAAAGAGAACACGTTTTACATTTGTAAATGCTCTTTCATGCATTGTAAACTGCAAACCCTGGCATTAGAAATATAAGTTGCGATGTCTTTTTTGTTAAAAGTGCATGAACATAGGGAGTAACACAATGAATACAGACAATCTGGCCTTGTACATTTTGACCAACGGGGAATTTCAGAACTCCACATTGGTCTCCAGAAATACAGATATCCATGTTGTAGGACAAGTAACTGACATGTGGCCCTTGACATACATCATAGTGGTCATGCCAGATGTATGGTCAGACATCAGACATCTTCCTACTGTCCAATGAGTACCCGGTGGCTTACATCTTACATGGTGTCAGAAGTGGGATTCATGGTGTCAGAAGTGGGATTAAAACAAAAAATAAGACTAATTTGCCAAATGCAAGCACTACAGCTGCCAAAACAGCTACTCATTGCTGAAAATCTAGCTGAAAACTGGAAACAACTGGAAACTGTCACAAGAATCATTTAGAAGCCTTGATTACCCCAAACTAAATTGGAATACTTGGAACTTTGGCTTGGCCTCTGACTCATAGCAAATTTGACTTCAGAACATGGACCCATATTGAACTGAAGCTTTCCCAAGTCTTTCAAGGTCTGAAATCCCCCGAAACGTAAGACCCAGGTGAAACAAGTAGAACAGTAGGTTTTAGGGGGTAGTTGGTTGTTGGGTGCATGCTGTGTCTTGACTGGACTATTGGTTAAGCTGTTTGACCCGAACTTATGACCTTTGACCTCATGACTGTGACCGGGCACTGGAGAGGTCATATAACGTAAACTTTACTTCTCCTCTTGGCAATCTTGTCGATACTGACAGATGGTTTAGGGGGCGGTTGGTTGTTGGGTACATGCTGTGTCTTGACTGGACTGTTGGACTGACACTGTTTGACCCGACCTTATGACCTTTGACCTCATGACTGTGACCTTGCATTGAAGAGGTCATATAACATAGATTTTACTTCTCCTTTTGGCAATCTTGTCGATACTGACGGATGGTTTAGGGGGTGGTTGGTTGTTGGGTACATGCTGTGTCTTGACTGGACTGTTGGTGACACTGTTTGACCTGTTGATCGAAAATGAAAAAAAAAAAACATATTAGAAACCATGGCCGTGATGGCAGAATGGAGACATAAACTGTTTAATTGTAATGACCTGACAACTTGGAGGGTCGCTAAACCACTTTCAATGGGGGAGGGGTGTAAACATTTGCCAACAGACCATCCGTGCTAAAAGGTAGACACAATTTGTTTCCCCAGTCACCCGACATCTCTAAACTTGAAAAGCTAGGGTTTTTTCCCCCCCAAAGGCGGTCGGCCGACCATTGTTGGAAATTGAAACAAATATTCCTCTTTTCTTGAAAAATGACAGCACACCAGGTGCTCTGTTTTCACAAGTTTAGACTATTATTCTCTTACAGTCAAGTAAGTTATCGCATAATAATTTTTTGAAGTTTGCAAATGTCGTATATTACCTTTAACGAGCATCGAAACAATGACTCACCCATTGAGCGATGAACACGACGCTGCATCTCCCCGTTCAGTCAGATCCCCCGGCAGCGAGTGAGTGTCGTCGTCACTGGTGAAGGAGTTGGAACGAGACCTGTTGCCCGCTATCTGAAATCGCTGATACAGCGACGAGAACGAGTGCTGACGAGGTAGCGTGGGACGTTTGAAGCGGCGCCGCTCGCGCCGTGGAAACGTGTTTGTCTGCGACTCCTCGCCAGAGGTCGCCATGGCGACCGGAGGTAGTTTGGACGGCGAGGAGGGAGCGGTCGTCGGTTGGGGTGGTTGTTGATTGGGCGGCGTGGCATACTGCAGTTTCAACTTCATAAACTTGCCGATCTGAACGACCACGAAATGAAGACCAACTAGTCACTGGTTGACTGCCATTTTACGTTTTAGTTTGCATTATGGGACTGACGAGTATTATTCAGCGTTCACAATACGGGCGATTCCCAATAGTGCGCCACCAATAGGTTGCCACGGATAGTCCATTTTTGCAGTGCATTGTGGGAGATGGTCAACAAATTCGCCGTTGGCGCGGAACACCTATTATTGTTACGTTGTCTGGTCACTAGTTTCGTAAATGATTAAAATATATTAACTTTTTCTTTTTATCAAGATGGCGTTCTTTTGTGAGGCGGCAGAATGCCATGCCCCGATCTATCAAACATTTCCTCAAGTTTCGTTCAAATCGCGGTTAGTCGGCCACGTTTTTGTCGACCGCATAAGGTTGACAAATGGACTCTCCTTGGCAGCCTCTTGGTGGCGCACTTGGGAATCAACCGTATTGAAAGCTAACACCGAGGATGAACAATGTTCATTCACAGGTCATATGCATGCACTCCGTGCTCTTTAGACCAAAAACCTTTCTTTAGTTTGTAAACGTTGAGCGTCATTTTGTGTGGGCTGTCACCAGGGCACAAATTGAAGCCGTGGTTGGCAACAGATTTCGCCAACAATTGCATATACTTCCTCCTATATATATATATAAAGGCATTCTTATTTAGTCTTTGATAGCCTTTGTAGTATATTTTGTAGCAATGATGTTTGAAAACAATGCTAGCTATGACCTTAAACCGTCCATAGTTTGCCCAAGCCTGGTTGGCAACCAGTGCCAACCACGTGCTGGCACAGAAAGCTCTTTAGGGTTACCGAAAATATATGCATGTGCCTTAACCTTATCAACCAGTGCAAGGTGTGGTTCCACAGATGAAATACAATTGAGCTGCCTACCTCGTGTACGCCGGATCTAACAGCCTGGAAGGTCACCGACACGTCGGTCGTTGACCCTTTGTGACAGACTCCAAGATCCATCTTAGGTTGTTCACATACTACAGCCTCTTCAATAAATCGGGATGATGTCTCGTCTGGAAAACGGAGATCACAATCGGCAAATCACGTAATCATTACAATGCGCGTGAATTTTACAGGATCCGGAAAATAATTTGGGAGGTAGTGCTGAATTCAACGGTTTTAAAATTACAAAAAATTTAGTAATTCATTTATTAGCCCTAACCTTCCCAATCCTGTTTGCAAACTGGAGGATTTTTCAGGATTGAGGCTATGTGGCAAAAATGTGTGTCTGATTTTGGAGGATGCACTGTGTCACTGTTAAGACCTTGTGTTGTTTATGCATACGGCCGTGTATACATTTAGGTCTAGATTATACTTGAAATCTTCCGCACTGCTCCAAGATGTCACTGGCTCTGCCTCAACATATTGACAGTGATTGCTGGAGAATTTTGCAGGATTGAAGCAGTGGTCGTCCCTCGTAGGACCACATTTAAGAAATAAGGGTTGATTTTGGAGGATGGAGGTTATGAGCAATTTTTACATGAAGGCAGTTGGAGGATTTTGCAGGATTGAGGAGGCATCCTAGCCAAAAAATGCCTAGGGAACTAGGGTTAGGGATTAAAATTGGACCAGACAATTCAAAACGTTTAGCATGGACTCTGTAAAAGGAACACTTCTAGATTCTGAGAGTAAAAAATAACCTAAAAATCCCAAAAACGTAAAGCTCATTCTTGGGTGTCCTAAAGACATGTTTTGTGGCTATATTCCTTTCTATCAGTCAAGTTGTTAGTGAAATACGCATGCTACCAGAGAGGTTAAAATGGATGTGAACTACACGTTCTATAAGCTACCAGTACCTGTGTCTGTCATGGAGCGATTGCCGGGCATCCATAGTAATGTTATTCCCAAGAAGTCCTGAAGGTTGTTTAGTAACGTGTAGTTCACGTTAAAACTGTTATATGAAGAGAATGATGTGTGCAGTGATTAGTATTCAGCAAGCATTAACTGGATATAGAGTTGGGCAGACAGAGAGGAAAGTTAAAATATATCCCTTCACCTTCCCACAAAACAAAAAAAGACAACGAGAATGCTCTCCACGACAACGCACCAGACGAAAATTGAACTCACTTGCGGCGCCTGAAAGCGGTGTGGTACCCACATACATCGCGCGCGCAGATTTTTTTCGATGTCATCACGTGGTGCATACATTTACATAAATAGCAAAACAAAATGGAAGACAGCCGTTGGAACTGGCGTTTTTTTACAGACAAGCCACCGAAATCGTCAAGATTTTTCACATTTTTTTTTGGGTGGTCTGTTTCAAGTCGATTGTTAGGCTTCGTAAATGACTGCTGAATGTATGAGGTATGTAAATGAACTCTGGGGTGGGATATTAGAGGTGAAAATGAACAATCTTTGAGAGGCCATTTTTTTTAGGGTCTCTTGCTACCACATTCTAACGAACAGGTTATGCCTCCAGCGTTACATGTGAATATGGAGCATGTCAGCTGGAGTTACTCAAGCTATAAACAAATGTGTTTTGCGGTCATGAAATGCAAGCATGGTTGTGTTACATATTTAACAGACATACATGTGCCCCATAAAAAAAATGGAAGAATGTTTGAAGTGATGATGAAGCTGGCAAGTGGACAGATGTAGGAAGCTAAAGCTAAGACGGATTGTCAAGTTGACAATGATAGATGGAGAAAGATGGAGATAGCTAGCATCGGGGGTCCGAATGTTACGAGGACAGAGGGTTAACCCTAAAAGGGCCGGGGGGGGGGGGGGGGTGGGGGGGGGGGGCAGAATCCGTGCCCCCCCCCCCCCCACCATCAACTTTTTCCACGATAGCCTTAAAAAAATTTCGAGACCCGTTATGACTTTTTATCCTCGAGCCTTACGCATCTTTTGATACCAAAAGCATAAAAATTGGACCAGGGGTTGCCGGGTAGCGAAAAAATTTCCGGCGCTATGTGTACACAGAGCAGAATTACCATTCATACAGATGAATAATTAATTAGCCATAATTCCAAAACCCTTTGACCCATAGTCATGATGAAATTTCTTGGGTATGTTTATGATGAGTTGCTCTATGCATGTACTGAGTTTCAAAATTGTTCGTCACTCGATGGCCGAGATCTGGGGGGGGGGGGGCGGGAGTCAAAATAACCCGGCCTGATTAGGGTTAAACATGTGGTCAGATCAGTGTAATAATTATGAAATTAAGTACCGTTCTAGACGCAGTGCTACTGCCGCGCCGAACTTCATTGAAATGAGTGCGGCAATAGCTCATCTATAGCACGGCAGTTGCTCTAAACACCGAATGAAATAGTCAAACCTTAATGAATCTGGAGTAACTGGCCAGGTTGAAGCAGTTAAATGAACTTTCAGCGCGATCAAAATATTCGTGCCAATTTCACTCCCCATGATGGCGCGAAAACAGGTATTGTGAGCATTTCGCATTCCTAACATGTCTTCCCCAACTTCAAGTTGAATTAATAAGTTCAGCACAGCAGTGACGCAGTGTTTCGAACAGTGCTGTGCCACTGCCATTCTTTCGGCAAAGAATCATACCACATGGCACAGTGGAGACTCATAATGTTTCTAGTGAACCTACCGGTACATGTTACAATGTATACATGTTTTTCATAAGATGCCTTAACTGACCCGATCCGACCCGACCCGACCCGACCAGAAAATTGTCAAACGCAAAACCGAAACTGACCTGAGCCGACTGAAAAGATTGAAAAACCGACCCGACCCGACCCGACCCGAAGTCAGTTTCGGGTCGGGTCGGTTTCGGTTGCGAGTCGGGTCTGCACAACGTTAGCATACATCATCTCGTCAAAACTGTAATAAATACTTGTGCATGCTGTCCATAGGCTGGGCAATTTTGGGGTACAGTGACTAGCTATACTTATCAATGTACATTTGCTGTTACAAACGAAAAGATATGAAGACTGACAACACAGAGATGAGCCTGATTGACGAACCTGTTGCCAACCTGTATGGGTGACGGACACTGTGCAGACATGATGAAGGATGGGAAATCCAGTCTCAGGCTAGGCAGTGAGTAGTGAGTGCAGACAGTTTGCCTACTGGCCATGGACTGAACGTACCACGTGATACTCAGTAAGAGAGGCAACTCAATGCCCTGGATTGACACACATGATTCAAGAGGACGATGGCGTTAGTGTGCAATGACAATATGTGGGTAGCAGAATGAAGCGTTAGTTGAACCAAGTTCCAAGGTTTTTCCCCCTAAGATGGTCGTCCAACCATCGTTGGAAATCGACGCACAATTTTTGCTTTTCTTGAAAATGACAGCACACCAGGTGCCATGATTTCACAGGATGCTTGAAACTATTATTCACTTACAGTCAAGTAAAGTATTTCACAATAATTTGGTTGTTTTTTTGTTTTTTTTGATGTTTGCAAATGTTGGTATTTTACCTTTAAACAATGACATTAATAACGCTATAAAATATATCCAGTTGCATGGAGCTACTGCCAGCAGAAAGCGTGGCTTAACGTGAAAACTTAACCTAACCTTCCAAAATCGGCCCGAATCCTCCTTGCAAAATCAGAAGCCGGACATTGAAGGACTGAGGTTGCATGGCAAAAACCTGAGGCCGAGTTTGCAGGATGCAATGTGTCAAGGTCTTAGGCTGGATCTTGTGTTATTTTTGGCTCAGCCGTGCATAAATTTAGGCCTACAAGTAGATTATGCTTGAAATCCTCCGCACTGCTCCAGGATGTCACTGACTCTGCCTTGACATATTGACAGTGATTGCTGGAGGATTTAGCAGGATTGAGGCAGTGGTCACCCCTCCAAGGACCACATTCAAGAAACAATGGATGATTTTGGAGGATTGAGGCTGTATGCAATTTTTGCACGGCAGTTGGAGGATTTTGCAGGATTGAGGTTGCATCCTAGCAAAAAGGCCTAGGGAGTTAGGGTCAATCAACTGGGACCAAGTCAGTTGCAAATACCCATCAAGTGGCAATTTGGCCAGTATTAAAGAACTGATAATGAATATTACCAAAAAGAATTCCAGAAACGTCATCTCTATAAATGCCAGTCTTGAACTGGCCAGACATGCATACCTTAGCTGGCTTGCTTCTCCAGAACTGGCTGAAGTGAAGCTGGAAGACGAACGCGTGTTGCTCTAAGGGTTGAAGGGACGATGGTGTGTGATATGACGGACTAGAGACCAACTCTATGAATGTATTATCCATCTCATCTAGAATACTGAAACAGAATATCAACAACAACAGCTATTATCATCCGACAGGTCAGTGGCACACCCAGGATTTGGTTGGGGGGGGGGGGGGGGGTCTCACAATTTTTGTTCTCCAATTTTTTTTTAGAAATTTGAACTTAAAAAAACAAACGTTGCCCAAAATTTACGGCCGCAGAAAATATATTTTTTTGGAGGGGGGGGGGGGGAATGGACTATTTTGACATCAGTGCCGATATTTACACCCCTATTACATACATATCAAAACGGTCAAATCGTGGGACTAAAAAAAATTCTCAATGAAAAAAATTATCAAAAAAAAATGTGACACACTCTCACAAATCTTGGGGTGATCGATCATTTTTCTTACGCAGGTCCTCATCTTTGGAACAAACTACCCCTCGCCATTCGCAATATCTCATCGCTTTCTGAATTTAAAGTTGCCCTGAAGACCTATTTGTTTCAGACCACTCAGAATATTCTTGTTTAGTTCAATTTAATTGTGTTGGTATTTTCTGATTTGATATAATTTTTGTTTTGCCCCATGAGCGTCATGTATGACAGATACTGGCGCGGTATAAATTTCCGTTATTATTATTATTATTATAAGTGGAAGAACATGTTCTTTTAAGACATATTTTATAAGCGTATCAAATTTGATTGCTTTTTAAGACAAAAATTAAATCAATAATCCAGGTCACTTTCTTTTTGACTCACCAAGTATACTTCTACTAATAATCAATGAAATGACTAAGTGTCCTAACTCACATCTTAATCTCGGATAGACAATCTGGTACATACTCGTTAACTGAAGCTTGATCAGTCTTATGCGGCCAGGCTGGATGGGGTGCGTGCTGCAGACTGTGGTTCTTATTCCACAACACTTCAACCTGGTCTAGTATCAGCCTCTCTGCATAGTCGTTGTTAACTGTAATGAAGCAAAAGAACACATGCAGTAAAAGGAGGTAGGTTTTACGTCTGAAGGTGAATGAGAAGGGAGAAATTTAGAATTCCAGATTCCAAAAACGTTATTTAAACTTAAATTAAAACTCAAACTTTAAACTTAAAAATACACTGTGGATTTCAGATTTGATATGCAATTCTTGATCCGTAGATTATCTTAAATACATAACATTTATAAAAGTAAAAGTGACGAAAACTTTCTGTCTTCACCACAATTTATTAACTCTCCCTTTCTGGCTGGCAATTTCAACAAGGCCAGCCAAGCAGGCAAAATAAAATTTTTTACAAGTTGAGTGCTCCCTGCATTCACAAAGCAGGATTGACTGGCAGTGATTGTTATGAAACCTGATGTAACTATGCTTTGTCTGTAGGAGATTGATAAGCCAGCTACGCCTACTTTTGCCTATGGATGAAATTTGACTAGTCACAGTGCTTACAAGAAATAGGATCTGACTGTTGGTGACTAGCCTGTGTAAAAGGCATGGCAGGGGAACAGGCTTGGATTTTTGACTGTCTGTGATTGATCAAACAAAAGGAGGGTTTTAACTCACCCTTGATAATAAGAAAATGTTTGCCCGCCACGGCCACATGTTGGCATCGAATCTCAGGCGGAGGTAGAATGGCCAACTCTGCTTTCACTGCAAAATAAAATTAATAAAAAAAACCACCCCAAAAAAACAGATATTCAGTAACAATAACTATCAAATGCAAAACTGTAAAACTCAAATTGTTGCTACATGTGCAGTATATGTAGAGCAATCCTGGCACGCTGGCATTTCTATCACAAAGGCCCCCTTCAATGGCAGAAGCATTGTGCTAGCTATTGTTCAGATAATCTGTGACAGGGCAGCTGCTTTGTACAATAGCTTGCACAATGCTTTTTCGCCATTGTAGGGGGCCTCGATTGTGTGTAGAGTGATCAAGTGTCCCGATGTTTATAAGCACCAGAAGCTGTACTTTTGCCACTTGGATGAAACAAAAGGACTTTTTCAAGACACTCCAACGATGAAGTCCAGAATTTTGAGCAAGGGTTTGCCTCCGATGTTTACACCAAAGCACAGTCTGATGCAACTCCAACTTGTCAAGAGCAAGGCCAAGGAATCCTGGGTCCAGACCCATGCCGAGTTGGGTACGGACCATATGGCAAGGGCATTTCAGAAGCATGCTGTGATGGAATTCTTGTACAAACTAAAGGCCCCAGAGTGTCCAGATTTCTGTCAATTTTTCTTATTAGAACAATTCTATTCAGCTAGCCATCTGGAGGTCATATCACACGTGATCATCTTGAAAGGTCAAAAGTTCATCAACTTTAAAAGATAATATATGACATTTGCTTTCGTTGTAATTTTCAGAAATGGATGGATTTGGGGGTTAATATTTTATAGCTACATGTAATATTGTTACGCTGACCTGTTTAAGGTTTTGTGTTCATGTATGTAGATGCTGGAAAAACCACAAACAAAAGGTCTTGTGGTCAGGTTCCCTGTCCCTACTTTAGACAAAACGGAGGGGAATTGTCAGGTCAGGGAACCAGACTATCTGGCTTACATGTACTTGCACCTGTTCACGGATGTGTTAACCGATTACAAACAAAATGTGGACCAACTAACTTTGGTAAAATTGGGGGCAGTATTTTCACAAAGTCCTTTTTTTCTAACAATGGTCGGCCCATCGTTGGAAACAAGTGATACAAACGTGCCACTTTTCTTGGAAACAATATCACACCAGGTGCCATATTTGAGATTATTATTTATTTACAACAAGTAAGGTATTAAGTTCTGTGAAAAGTAGCCATTTTGAAAAAAAAGTACCCATTTTGAAAAAAGGGATCCCTCCATAACATAGCTAGAATAGCATCACTTTCAGACCTAATTGCATCCAAAATGCTCAGAATTGGAAGCCCAATTAGTCCAGACCCGAGGTGCAGTGCCAATTATGTCAAGATTCAATCCTCAAATTCCATGGCTCTCAGAACTCTCTATACAATCATCTGAATGTATAACAATTATTCATAAACTCGGTGGGTGGATTTTCGGCCTAATTACTTTGCTGCACCCTTGACTTCTGATTCTGTGGTATTCTCACCGGTGCATTTCAACAGAGGGCGCTGTAGCTGAAAGACGTCTTCCATGGGTAACTGCAGGAGTAAATCCAGGTAGTTGTTTTCTCGTGGGTATCGGCGGGACGTGGCCTGACTGGTGATGTGCACCGACACGGTCAGCGTCCGCAGGGAACTTGGCAAGGTGTTCAACGGAGCACTCAGGGGAAAGATGACGACATCATCATGTATGATAGGCTCACTCTGTAGGGAAAATGGAGGTAAACAAAAACAAGAACCTGTTACTTTCACGGCGATCGTGTAGTATAGGGCCAGGTTCCTATAAGGGAACAAAATCCACTTTAAAATTATTAAACCTACCAAACTAGTTGGCGACATTCTCAATAAACAGGTATGTCATAGATAGAGGGCAGGGTTTTGATTTTTTTAAGGGAAATTTGGGAATAAAATGACGATGACGGCAGGACGACAACACACTACCCGAAAATAAAGATGGTGATCACCGCGCGATGTACCGTGAGCACGCACGGCGCGCTAAATCGCAAGGCACAAACCGCGCAGGAAAATCGTGATTTCTACCCCAAGAATCTGTTCAAAATTGCAAAAAGGGTGTCATTAGAATTGAGAAAAGTCTGCTTTTGATTGTAAAGGTGATGTTTGAGCAATAAAAAAACATTTTTGACTCTAATTTGATCAAAACAAAACAGGGGCCCTACACTTCACGATCGCCACTTTCACACATGTCAACAAACTTACTTTGTGACTAGACTGGAATAATTTTCTGAACAAATATCGGATATACTCTCAGGCATTCAGTACTAGTGGTCACTGGTGGGATTAAATCCGGATTTTATTTAAAATCTACTAAAATTTAATTTAATAAAACAAAATTTGAAATCTACTTTTCGGTTTCGATTTTGGTAACAGGTTGTACGAAACCAACTTTAAAAAAGTGAAGCCTTCCATTTTTTGTGACACAGGCTAAACAAAACAACTGGAACATCCTCCAATTTGCCCCACGGTCTCTGATTTTTGTAACTGCGTTCATTTGCTGGTGGTCTTCGTGGTGTATGAATGGCCTGCCTATTTGACATCAGAGAGTTCCTGTCTATTTTTTGTTTCAACGTTACAGCTCTGGAGTGTTTTTGTAAAGGCCCAGTGGTCATTGAATCCTGCAAACTATAGGCCTACCCAGTCATTGGGAGGGCATTGTACAACAATAATAAGTACATATGTAACAATATTAACCAAAACTACATTCATTTCTGAAAATTACAGCAATTTAAGCAAATGTATACTGAAAAAAATCAGTCATACCGGTAATGGCAAGACCTCAGTTCAATGCTCAAGGCCCTTTTTTTTTAAAAAGTGGATGTTATAAATCATATTGTTTGCCTAACCAGGGTTGTTAAAAACATATTGTGCACTACAGTTGTTGACAGTTGATGAAACAAGTATTCTGCGTCATTTTCTTTGGAGTTCCAAAAAAGTCAAAATACACAATACATGTACAATGCTTGTTTTGGACAAAACAGGTTTTAGGGTGATCATTGCGTTTAAAAGGTGGATTGAGCAATTTCAGTAATTTTTTCATCTTAAAGTAGCTTATGAAATTGGCTTTCTAATCATAATTATTTTTGGTGCTCTATATTTTTTTAAAATATGAAATATATTTTGGGGGTTTGGGTTTCGCCTTTTGTGACTCACCCTCTATACATGTACCTTTCATCTACATTTCCCCGACCGTGTATCAATTTAAGTATGTGTACACGCACTGACCAAAACAACATTATTACACCTTTGCTGAAGAGATTTCAACGTTTTGCCTCAATGTATGCACCTCAAGATGTCTCTTTAAGCACCGTAGCCTCCTACAAGCCCACACAATCCTTATTACATGTGTATCTAGGACAAGGGACTCTCCAGACGAGATGCCCTGCGCATTAATCCTACGAGCGTGATGACTCATAGCGATAGGGTCACACAGAGAGAGGTGCATGCACACACTGACACACCATCTAGAGACAGGTGTGCTGTATCAGTAATAGATCTATCATGGCAAGACTGACCCATGGGGAACTAGGTATGATGTGGTGAGATCGCGCGCAACACATTGACATTTACTCATTTCATTCTGTGTTAAATGAATTCCACAACTTAACAGTGAATCTATCAATATACGATTAGTTATTGATTCAGTTCTAAAGGTCTACGCCCATCAAATGTACGTCGCCCATTTTCATTGAAATGCTAAACATGGTATTATTTACTTGAGTACCTTTGTATTAATTTTAGTGTGCACATAGTTTACAACACAAAGGGTCCAAATACATGTATTGACAGTGCATTAGGCCAAAAAAAAAAAAAAAGGTCTGCTTCCGGTTACCCTACCTACCGGAACCCTATTTTTGACAGCCCCTACCCTAATTTTTTGGGGGGAAAAAATGAGGAAAAAACCCGAAAATCATCAATTACTACCTTTTACCCTTGACTACATGCAGACATCTCCGTACGATCGTAAAAAAAAAAAAAAAAAAAATTGCCAACAAAATTTGTTTTCCCTACCTACCTACCCTATTTTCAAATGTCATGTAAAATTTGGAAGCAGAAGTTTTGTTTTTTTGGCCTTAAGCAGTGCCCACCAAGAGTTTGTCACGGAGAGTTCATTTTTCCCAGTGCATTGTGGGAGATGGTTGACAAATTCGCAGCGCGGAACATTTGAAATTGTTCGTTGTTCCGGTCAGTAGTTTCGTAAGCGTATAATTTGAGTATCTTCTTCAATGAGGTGTTTTTTGTATTAAAACCCAAACTCCCCAGCCTAATTTACATGTACTAGGAACCATACCCATTCAGGCAAATTCCAACACCCACATGGGAAATTGTACACACACACTGTTGGACTTAGTTTCTGGAGGTATGCCAACCCCAGTGTAAAATCTATAACAAATTAGCTCAAGTTATCTACTGACACTTATTTAAATGGGCCATGTTTTGTCGACCGTAAACTTGAAAAATGGACTCTCCATGGCAACCTCTTGGTGGCGCACTTCATTGTGAATTGCCCGAATTGCACCTCTCATACAATTAACATTATGTCGTGTGCTTGGACACTGTAATTTCATTGGTCGAGAACTGCCAGGTGTGCAGTCTGTAAATGCGCGTTGCGTGTTGCGCTCGCGCATGCAGAACCTGCGCTCGCATGTGTAGAACCTGCGCACGTGCGCTTGCGAGTTCTACAACCGCTCAGACTCATGCATGTATGTCCGGCATGAAAGCCTGCAATGCAGTTACCGAGGGTTAGGCCAAAAAAAATAAATAAGTCGGTCTCAATCATGCGCGTTGATCTTTTTTTTTCTAAAATGTTCAGCGGTAGCTCCAACAGCGCCCTCTATTTCCGCACCTCCTCAATTTGTTTTACCAAAGAGCACCAAGGAATGGGAAATTGCACCAAGGCAAATGATTGAAAGCACCAAGGCAAATTATGGAGGACACCAATGTACATGAGGACACCAAAAAAGCAAAATAGTACCCCACCTTGTCTGTACAATCCAAGCTTGAAGAAAAAAAAAAGAAAGCCAAAAAAAAAGAAAAAAAGCCGCGTCGCCGCGTCAATTCCGGAACTTTGGTCTGACCAAAGACCGAATATTTTTGGGGGGGCCTTACACCGCAATGATTTAATTTATTTCATGCATGGTTAGTTACAATCATTTATCGTTTTGACTAATATTGGCACAATATGCTGTGATGTGGGATAGATCCCACATTATCACAGCAGTCAACAATTGGGACCTGCATATAAGCCCCACAGGGGGTGGCTCCAGGCATAACTAGAAAAATATGGGTCTAAAAATGATCAGTATTTGGTTCATGAATATATCGCAGGTTGTTCTTTGCAAGTTTTATTGAAAGTTTCACGTGAAATCTTTTATGAAAGTCTTTCAAAACCAAATTTCCAAATGCTTTGTAAGATTTATTTAACAATTAAAAATTCAATCTGTACACTAGAGTTAGTGAATTTGAAAATAACTTGTTGCTTCTTCAAAAATAAAAAAATATATAACTAAGGATTCTTTTGTTTTTGTTTGTTTTGACAACTGAAATTAAAATGCAATATCACCACATCTTGATGGATTTAAAGGCCAGTATTGCCTAGTCCGAAAATTTGGGACTCTCAATACTGTGTATGAGAGACCCAAAACTTACGGTATTGAAAACATGCAATACAAGAAATAGATTGGCACATGAAACAACCAGTCCAACAACCCTTCAGTACTGCATCAATCAATTATGCCAAAAGAAACGTCTGGCATCTACAGGTAGCTCTATTTCTACACATTATCGATGGTCATGTCACCAGACTACTGAAGGGTCAATCTTTTCAAACAGTTGGACATGTACGAGTCTAGTCTTTAGCTCCAAATTGAAATCACTTGGCTTCACTCTCAGGTGCAAAATGTTAAAGAAAAATCTCCTTTAAAAATTGAATTGATACTCCAACTTGGCTGGTGAAATACTGAGGACCTTGTCTTTGCCCCATGAACATTTTAGAGGATTTTCCTGATGAGTCTCCTGACGATGACTAGAGCAGGCTAGTCGAAACGTTGAGACCAAAGACAAGTTCAACTTAAAGCAGGACTGTTCTTATCCGAACAAAAACTACTTAGGGTTACAGACCAGTAAATAAACTTCCAAGGCCCCAATGGTAAATGCTCCCACTTCAGAAATTTGGGAAAAATACTCACAACTCTCTAAGGTGTTCGAAACACACATCAAATTAAAGCTTATTTCATCATCTTTCATTTTCTTTTCAATTTTCGGGGGGTCAACTGATGACTTTTAGGAGAAATTTCCATCCGAAGATGATCAACCCTGAATAATACTTAATAGTCCTGAAGCCCATCGCCATTTTGAAAAACGATGCCTACACTCCATTGCAAAATAGAGCGCTTTAAGGGCCCCAATTTCGTCCAAATTGAACGGAACTACAAGCTCACAGTCCTGTGCACGGCTTCCACCCATATTTTTTACAAACCCTCAAGTTCATGGCCCACAGCATGCTCAAATACTGAAGATTTTGAGGGCATGCGAATCGTGATTTGGCCGGCGTAGGCAATTTCGGACTGATTTACTGGTCTGCAACCTTAGCGAAAGTTGATAATAAGCAGGACAAGTTCTTTTCAAAACTAAATATCTTCTAAGCAGAAGTTTACCACATGGTGTTACCGCAAACCGAAACGATACTGATACTCCACCATGCAAAGCCTCAAATCTTAGAGAATTTTGTTGGCAAAAGAGTGAGCAAAGTTGGCATGATCTTGTTTTTCATGTTTTTCTGCACTCAATGTCCCAGTCTGAGGGCTGCCTTGATCCACAACGACAAAAAAAACCCTGTCCATTGCTTCTATCAAGCCTGTGACATTATCTGGTGAGCTATCAGATAGATCTATAAGAATCCAACACATGGCATACCAACTTGCCCGTTTCATTAACGCAAGAGAAAGCCCATTACCGTACAAATCAAATTATTGATAGAATCTGCTTGGCAACGGTAACCAGGAGCGTTGATGGCAGCATTTTGCTGTCAGCGAGGAAACTCGGTTTTAAAAGCCCAAGATATTGATCTGTTTTTGAGTGTGAATCATGGAAATCTTCTGCAGCGTTGCACACTGCGATCAATTATGGTACACGTATCGAGTGCAGTACGTACAAGTGGGCACGTTAATTGATCAAGTATGTAAGTTGTGCATATTAACAGTCAGACAGTAAGAGGAAATGATTTTAACAAAACCATTCTTCGTAATTCTTCGTAAAAACAATGTGTGCGCTCACTGCACTGTGCGTGTGCACCATGTCCGTGTACTAAGAATTTACGCGAGTATAGTAATAAGATGAATTTTTCTTGTTTTATTTTATTTATTTATTTATTCTTAGTGTTCACGCCAAGAGTAATTGACCTATTGCCGTTTGCGAGTTAGCCACGCCCCTTTACATAGACAACCCTGGAATTTTTGTTTGTCTTAGATTTTGTGCGTTCCCCATCAATTTGTGTATATCATGTGATTGGACAATATTTTGGTTGTGTGGTATGAATTCGGAAAGATTTCCAGTATACGAAGTTCACTCAACACCCTGTGTACAAACCATAAGAGATTGGACTGAAAAATTCTAAGTGTTTTCTAAGAAAATGCTTGTATTTTCTCACTGCTCAAATTGACTTTGATGACATGAAATTGCTATCTGGGGGCTTGTTAGTCAATACAGAGGAAAATTAGTGAACTTCGTATATGGAAATCTTTCCTGAATCTGGCGTGTGCGTCACTACAGGGTCTACAAGGTCAAGGTCAAACCTCAAACTTGATGCCTCGAAAACAGGTATACGGATGATATAGGCCTATAAAGAATAAACCGCGGCTAGCTGTGCACGGCCGGCCACATATGCACGCAGCACACACAGCCGATCGAGGGATTTTACGGTCATCTAATTTGGAAGTGAATCCCCACTGATTTCTCCCGAACTACTCACGTTTTTACCAAACCAAAAGGTGGTTTATATTCTCTCTGTACCTTAAGAAACATCGTGTGAAAAATTTCATTGCCGAACTCCATTGGGTTTTGAGAAAAAAACGTAAAAAATCTCGGACTTACGTTTCTCATCATAGACTTGCACGTAAATTTCAGGCAATGTTTGTCATCCACTCCCATGATGCAATGCAAATGTCAAATAGGTTTGCACAACATGCTCGATCGACCGATCATGCCGATCAACTGATCGATTGCACTTAACTTTCATGACTTTCCACAAGTTCCACAACAAAATAGGCCTACATTTGTAATTATTTATAAAAAATAAACTTAAAATACAATCAACCAAATGAACTCAATTCTTACCTCTCTCACTGTAGCTTTTCCTGTGTTGAATGTTTCAAAGGGTTTGCAAATCCTAGCTGATCTGCTTAACGAGTTGGACGGCCTAGAGGAACCGTGACTCCGCCCCCCTGACTTCGATCTGCCCGGCGATTTCGTAACGCACGTAACCGCATTGTTGTCGGTTGTGCTGCAACCGATGTGCGCCTTGCAGTGCACGGAACGTACCGCCGACTGCCATTCCTGCACCCGTTCTTTGCAGTCATTTTCACCGACATATTGCACTAAGAGGGCGAAAGTGACCCGCTCCCCGGAGTAGATTTTACATCTAGGTGGAATGTGTTGAATATCAAGCCAGTCCGTCGGCTCTTTCGAAGGGAAAAGTAACTCAAATTTGCAGTCTTTTTGCAGCACGTCCAAATCGTCCGCCATCTTCAATATATTTTCACGCATGCGCGATGCGACGCGATGATATCATATCATATCAGCGCGCGATATCGGCACGTACCGTACCGCGCCGGTACATCATCATATCCGGAAGTATTTCGCTGTAAATTGCAGGCTAATCTTCTCTCGTATATTCCTCTGAAATCTGCCTTTCCATACTTCGGACTTTGTCATACTTGTAAACCGTCGACACTTCTGCGTACTACTTGACGAAGGTAGGTTATTCGAAAGTAATCTGTTGTAGTGTTGGTGTAAATTAAACATTGAAAAGATTCATGTGTTTTAATTTTTTACAATGTGGCAAGTCTGTATACATGTGTGTGGTATGCGCGCGCTAGACCCATGCATGCCATGGCGTGTACATGATTTGATGAGATTTTGCGGTTTTTGCTTTTTTTTGGTTAACAACAAGTGGTGACAAAAATTGAATATAGGCCTGGCAAGTAGCATATATTATTATAGATATACTCACATTAATCAGCCTCTGAATCTGATTATCTTTAACAAAAATTATTAGTATTCTGACCAAACACAAAATTAATTTTAGGGGGAAAAACGTGTCATTTTAAAGACATAAATATAAATAATACTGAATAACGTGTTTCATGGTAATATAATGTGCCATCTTGTTCACGGGGCAAAAAGAATGGGCGTTGCTAGACGTGGGCGCATTTTGGATTGAACGCATGATGACTTGGAAGCGCAAAAGTGTTCCATTGATGATGCGTACACAGCAACGTGTGTAAAATTGCCCCACGGCACGGCAAGATGGCGCATATTACCGTGAAACATCTTATTTTCCCCATAAATGGCCAATTTACTGAACCACCTCCGTAAATAAAGGCCACACTTGGATTGTACGCGAATATGTAGAACTTTGTCAAGTTTTTATTTTTACATTTAGACTTTGTTTGTAGTTTATTTATGCTGTAGAAGCACTCTCACCCGTTTTAAAGCGATAACAAATTATTGCCCCTTTTTCAGACATCTATATTTCATGTAATTTCCAGTTTTATTTTGCACACGTTAGTGTATCTAAATTCCAACACGAAATTGCATGACTTTCTTACATATATACCTGTTTCAACAGTTTTCATTAAAGTTATTAATATAGAGACTAATAGTAGGCCTAATATGAGTCATAACAGTTCAAACATAAATCAAAACCCTACTGCTTTTTCTACACAATTGAACGGGATCATAAACTGCACTTTTACAATAGGCCCAGACAGAGCTCTTGAGTGCAAAACTAAATCAGGCCCACTTTACTCACAGTTTAGCCAGTAAATTTCTCCAAAAATTCCACTGAGGGAAAGAAAATGTCCTCAGTATTTTACCAGTTTGCAGACTCAATTCAATTTTAAAGGAGACTTTTCTTCAATATTTTGCACATGAGAGGGAAGTCAAGTGATTTCAAAATGGGGTTAAATACTAGACTGGTACATGTCCAGCCATGGTCCAACTATTTGGAAAGACTGACCTCTTCATACAGTGTCAATAGTCTGGTGGCTTGACTATGGAGAAATGTGTAGTAAATTGAGACTAGCGCCCGCTTCATGCCCCATGTTTCTTAAATTCTTTTGACATGGTTGATTGGTGCAGTACTGAAGCTGTGTTGGACTGGTTGTTTTAGGTGCCAGTCTATTTTCTTGTTTTGCATGTTTTCAATACCTTAAGTTTTGGGACTCTCATACACAGTATTGAGAGTCCCAAATTTTCAGACTACAATAGGCCTTGCATTGATTTTTTTTTTCATCAACCACCCCCTTCTTTTTGCTGTTAACCCTTTCAGGACACTTCACACAAAGTTGACCCCGGATCCCTGTATCCCCTGTCCCTCAATGTGCCCTCAATTTCCTGTTCTGCTTTCTGTCAAAGTTGGTAGACATCACTGGGTCTGGCAGCGAAAGGGTGGACAGAAATATCTTAACACTACAGCTAAGATTACATTGTTACATTTTGCAAGCGTAACATTTGCCAATCGGTACCAATAGTAATACATTTCCCTTTCATGGATTCGCCCAATTACAAACCAACTACAAACGGAAATTTCCAAAAACGCTTCACTTGACTCATCTTTGGAAATGACTTTCTTTTATTGTTTTCTTCAAAATGACAGCATATGCCAGAAGGGATATTTTCACAGGGAGTTTAGTGCTGTTACTATCTTTAAAGCTGGAGTCCATCATTTGCAGCTATCCAAAAAGTGACTGGCGTAAATTTTGTTGAAAAACATACTTGGTTGAAAGATAGTAAGGGGACTAAACTCCCTGTGAAATTATTCTTTCTGGAAAGCTGTTATTTAGAAGGCCTTTTCAACGGTGCTTCTTAAGACGCACTGTAGGAAATTTAAATTAGTAGTTCGTTTTGTTTTGCAGCAAAACGCGCGCAAGCATTGGCATGACCCACAGGCGCGCGCGGCTGCTATAATTCGTCGGATCAATGCGTGACATCGCGTATAGCTGCAATCGGCTCAGTGAGAACGCATCTCGGACGCTGAATTCAGGCCCAATTCAAAACATGATTCAGCAACTTTTGATTTGAAATTGAGAACCTAGAATGCTGTTTTTCTCGGAATATACAGCTGAAGCTGAGCTGAAACTTCATCAGGTTAGTTGTTCAGTATCCTTCATTAGATTTTGAACACTTTTGTTGCTTCAAACGAACAAAATGCACAAATTACAAATGAATGATGGACTATATCTTTAAAGTATTTTGTTTCATTTCAAATTGATGTACCGTATGCTCATTAGTTTAATGCGCATGCACGTTTACACATGTTACACACGTCACTTTTAGTTTCATTGAATACGCCATTTCCTCGGATCAGCTGATTTCCTCTTTTTTTTTTAACTTCCCACACGTCACATCACGTCAACTGGTTTCATTGAAAGAGTTCATGGTCAGTGTCAATGAAAATTCTCTGACACTAACAGCAGGGTTCGACTATAGCAGTAGCCCGCTAGCCAAATGCTAGTCAAAACAGCGGCGGGCTGGTCAAACTATTCCTTAAGTAGCCCAGCTGGCGAGTCCAACATTATTGGGATGTACGGCAAAGATGAAAGGACAGGAAGAAATAAATAAGTAAATTCAGAAAAAAAACCTGTATCACTTTGTGTCTAATTTTATTAACTGTTTAGGGTTAAATTATTAGATCTGTTTACTAAGAACACTGACAATATTGCCTCAGGATACATATTTTACATGTATGTACATTGTTGTTTATGAGACACTCTATCAAAGAAAAAACATGCAGGCTAGTGAAAATGCCGGCGGGCTAGTTAAGAGTCTGTTTCAGTAGCCCGGCTGGCCATCTGCGTAGGAAAATTACAACTGCGTATTCAACGCCATCGGGTACTGTACGCACAGTGTGCAAAATGTTCTAAACACAAGCGCATGTTGTTTGAAATAAGGCACAGTCAATGCGCATCACGAAAATTCGACTAAGAATAGGCCGATGCACGTGGCAATTTGTGACAGTGACGTCATTTGCGAGAGATCTATATCGGCAGTAATTTTTGCAAGACCGGGGTGAATTGATCAAAAAGAAAATTCAACTAGATGGGACTGGTACATGTACATGGACGTTCGCTATCCAGTCTTTATGTAGAGGTCGGCAGAGTAAACCTCTTTGTGCATTCATTGTTAATCAATTAAAGGGAAGATACAACATTTGCAAACATCAGAAAACGGAACGATCAAGTTATCACGAAATACCTTACTGGATTGTTAGGGAATGACAGTCTAAAGCATCCTGTAAAATCGTGTCTCCTGGTGTGCTGACATTTTCAAGAAAAACTGTATTTTTCCAATGCTGGTTGCCCGACCAGCGTTGGAGAAAATTGACTTTTTTCAAAAACTGCTTCTAAATTTTTATATTTAGTTATTTCAAAATTTTCTTTGCAATTGATTGCACACCTGTGAAGGGGTACAAGCCTGCTAGACTGATTATCTGACCCTACAATTCCCCAAAGTCTGTAAATTGCTTTGTTTCACCTTAAGTGGGGTCAGGGAAGCAGACTACAAGAATATGATTGGTTTTCTTGGTTTTTCCAGCATCTACAAGCCCAAATGTGAAACAAGTCAGTTTAACAATATTTTCTATCACATACTTATCCTCCAAATCCATTGAAGTCGGAAAATTTTAGCAAAAGCAAATGTTGTACATTCCCTTTAAGATAATAAAGAATTACTTCCATTCGATACCTTTTGAGCGGGTTATTTTCATTAATTAATCGTTTCCATATCATGACCCTTGAGTCCATTCGTCAGTGGCAGGTGGTCCGATATCCTGCTGAAAAGGTTCTTGTCCTTTAGTTATTTAAACGAAACAAAAGGTTCTTGCTCTGTGGTTACCATCAACGAAACAAAAACGATTTGAAATCCAGCATCAAGACTCCTGCAGTGATACTACCACTAAACAGCACAGGTCAAAAAGAAAGTGATTGAATTAGAAAAAAACTATTTTTGAAAATATTTGGCACGCTCCATTTCATAAAAATAACAAAGGGACAAAGTGCATGTTATTGACTAGTAATTGTGAACATTGCGCTTAATGTGCATACTCTTTTCCTAAGTTAAGACTATTTAATGAAAAGAAGATCACAAAATTTAGCTGTCCACCACGGATCATTTACCATTCTACGAACTGATGAATACCCATTAAAATACAATGAAACGTGGATGTTTTCCCACCTCCATGAATGAATGAAAACTTGCAAAGGAAAACAGACACAAATCGCCATCAATATTTCAGAAACACAAAAGTGGACTTGTTCCTCATATTCAAAACACAAAACCTGACGGTAAAAATGATGTTTCAGTCTTGACTCAAATGATTGAAATCCTGATTTGTATTTTGAATGGGTGTGTGTAATCTGTAATTCTCACTCAGCTCAATAGCTTCCAATGGCATTCCATGGACAGCTATAAAAATAGGTTCTTCTATACTATAGTTTATTATAAACATGCATAACTTCTAATGGCATGGATCAATTTAAGTAATTCTTTTTCTAGACGAGTGGAAGAACATGTGTGCTCTTTTGATACAAACATGTACTTCATTCGTGTATGAAATTTAATTGCCTTTTAAAACAAAAAATCATTAATCCAAGTCAGTTTCTTTTTGACTCACCATAATAGAGAGAAGGTGATTTATGTTAATTCATTCCATTCTGCTATGAGTCAGCTTCTCCTTGGTTGATAAATGATTCTTGATTGGTCACATGACCATCGTCTTGCAAACACACGCACGACGTCCTCCATCACAACTTATCGCGCCGAAGGAAAAAAAAAATCATCTGTGCTTAGTCAGAAGCAGGTCAGGGAGATGCAAACTTTTCCTTGGAGACATTGGGACCAAGATTTCTCCTTGATTTCTTCCTGTTGAGGCTCTGTGGAGAACTGCTGAGTCAAAGATGAATACAATTATTTGGTTAAGTTTTTGTCATTGCTACTTAACTGTATAGGAAATGAAAGGCAACTTTATGCTACACGTGGTGCAAACTGGGACCTTGAGTCCAAAAAAAACATGCAAAACAAACTCGGGCCAACTTTGCTCACTCTTTAGCCGACCATATTCTCCAAACATTTTCATGAGGCAGTGACAAGGTCCTCAGTATTTCACCAGCCAAGTTTGAAGTCTCAATTCAATTTTGAAAGGAGACTTTTCTTTAACTTTTTGCACCTGAGAGTGAAGCCAAGTGTTTTCAATTTGAAGCCTAAGACTAGACGGGTAATGTACAATTTTTGTCTGCGGGATAGCAGCTCAATAAATCATCATGTCTCTCCGTTAGTTAGTAACAAACATTGGCATTGTCTATTGCTCCTACATATTTTGACCGATTTCAACCAAACTTTGTCAAAAGTATCAGACTAGCCCAGCCCCACATGTCACATGACCAAACTGGGGTCAAAGGTCATCATGGGGTCACCGGGGTTAAAAATCAGATTTTTTTCTACTCAAAACACTACTCCTTCCAGAAATTACATGGCACAATCACGTGACTCATGCGTGAAATTGGATTTGTTGGCCCGCAGCTTCCGAGATCCGATGAAGCTTGTTTGAAAAGATTGACCCTTCAGTAGTCTGGTGGAACGCGTAAAGAGAATGTGTAGAAATAGGTACCAGACGTTCCTTTTGACAGAGTTGATTGATAAGTTGAAAGTTAAAAGAGTGTTGAACTTGTCATCGGTGATGCCTTTGGATGTAAACTCATGTACTGCAATGTTTGTGTTCATACGAGGCACAAATGTGATGGCGAATGTGAATTTTTGGCAATACTGCAAATTCACAAAAGTTTAAGCCTCATCCAACTCCTACAAATTTTGTTGCAAATATTTGGTGACATATCCTAGTTGTTTGCATTAATGATTCGCTTGCACATGAAGCACAGGCCTGACGTTAATCTTGCATGCTTTCTATTTATACAATGTAGAAGTTGATTGTATTTATAAATTAAGAAACATTTGGTGTTTGTATGTACTTCATGACAGAAATGTGGTCGTGTATTTTTGGTTGCGCTTTCGGTATTTTTGTTGTTAATCTATGTGATTTCGTTTCTATTTCGTTCCGGCAGACAAGCCATGTACGGACGGGGAGAGCCTCTAACCCAACATGACAGGATACCTCGACATCCGCTAGCACTGCACGCTGAGTGAAATCCGCCGAGACCTAAACACACTCGAAGCCCAGACTTCAGGAAACCGGGGATTGATGACGTCATACCAGCCACGGGGGTGATGAACGGTGTCTGTGCAGACGATCATGAGCTAGTCTTTGGATTATATATATTACTGTACCCTGGACGAATCCTGCAATATGTACATGCGGACTTGATTGGAGTTTGAACTCATCACAAATTACAGTCATTAACGGATGAGACAGCGGATGACCTGACGTGACCTCAAATACACAATACTTGGATCTCAGCGCTGAATAACACCACTCGTCGTCCGACTATCAAGACAACATTTATCTCTAACTCATTACTTCGCCATTGGTACTGCAAGAACTTCAAGATGGTTTCTCACATCCGTTTGGAGAACACTCAGAATTACAAGCAGCAGGTGTGTTTGTCCGTCATGACCGGCCTGTATGGATGCAGGTGGAAACGATATCAACGATCAACAGAACCTACTACAAAGGTACGCTTGCCTTTTTTAAAATGTATTTGTTATTTTATTTTTTTTCAAAATTAACCACAAAGGGAAACTGACTAGTTTTGTTATAATTTGTCAAAGTTGAACAAAGAAATTGACTGGAGGGGGTTTGAACCTGCGACCTCCGGATTACCGTTCCGGTGCTCTACCAACTGAGCAATCCGGGACCCTACATTGTATGTTGGTATTTCCACAATTTGTCAATGTCTTTGTTTAAGGGGCGCTAGACACATTTTCGGAAATTTCCGTTCGTAGTTGGTTTGTAATCCGGCAAATCCGTGAATAGGTGTGCGCAAGCGCTGACACAAGGCACACGCGCGTGTGGTTGCTATTATTCGTCGGTTCTGTGCGTGATATCGCGTAGCTGCAATTGGCTGAATGAGAACATGACCCAGATGCTGATTTCGGGTGCAATTCAGAACATGACCCTGCAACTTTTTTTATTGAAATCGAGATCCTAGAATATTGTTTTCTTGGAATATACAGCATTCACTGAGCTAAAACTTCATCAAACTAGTTGTTAAGCACCCTTTTTTGAATTTTGAGCTCTTTTGTTGCTTCAAACGAAAAAAAAACTGCACAAATGACACCGGTACTTTTATCTTTCTTACAGAAATTAGCGAACATTAATAAAATAAGCAAAACGTATAAAATTTGGCAATGAAACTAATTGTAGTGTATGTATGTTTGTCTACAGTACCGTACTTACACAATATACATTTTAAATATTTGTTCATTTTTCTTTTTCACAATTTTACATGTATAAGACATGTTGTTTTGTTTTTGCCTAAAACTAAATTTGCCTAGTTGAGTATGGAACATATTATACATGTACAGCTTCATTGAAGTTCATTGTTGTACTGTAGGAAACCTTTTAAGATTTACGTGTGAAATCGTCAAACTCTCAATGTTCTCTGTTGCCTGAGGCACTTAACCTTCCAAGCCTAAAAAGGTTTTCACACAGCGTGTACATTGCAAAGTGAATTATCCACCGTATTCAATTTGGGTTGTTTTTTTTTCCTGTTTCAGTTTGAGAAGCTATGGGCTGTCTTAGTGGTCGTGTGCTTCGCCTTCATCGTGATGTGGCTGTATTACTGGGTGATGGCACAAAATGACATTGCAGATTTCAATTGGTAAGCTCGGGTTTCATCCCGCGTAAGTCCAGTTTCCGACGTCGTCTTGTATATATCTCTCAGCTGTCGAGTCGATCTCATCAGAGGAAGCAATTAAATTCCGACAGTTTGAATCAATGAGCATAAAAAGGCTGTGGATTTCCGGGAAGAAGATATAGGCCTTGTCAAATCTCTGGGGTGACTCTAAAGGTTTATTGGCTTATGGTCAGATTGTACTCAGTTGAGATCGTACCCCCTGTAGCACATGTCATGGGTGTGGGGAGGGCGGTGGGGTGGGGGGGAGGGGGGGGCTAAATGGAGACTCGGGCTTCGTAGTCAAGACTGATGATATTCTCACCGTGCCCCATTCCTCTAAAATCTTGGTGCCACGGAGGCACGGATCATATTACAAAGTGTGTCCCAATAAACATCGTGCATGAAGAAATCGCTGATTTTCTCCAAAGTTGGTCAGACTAGCTACATATAATCAAATTTTATAGCATTTTCAAGCCAATGGTCTTGTTTATGATTGGTGCAAAAATCAAGAAAATCCATCAATGCAAACCAGAGATATCTTTAAAGTAGTAAGGCTGTGTGTTTTTCGTCCTGCATTATGTCATTTCCACACTCAGTATTTGCTTGTGTGCACTAATGATTGGGTTATTGGTATGTGTTACGCAGTGCTTGAAATATTGCATGGTCTTTATGTTGCATTTGGATAAGGGCGTTCACAGATAACATTTTGGGTATACCATTATATAATCAAATCTCATACCACTTGGAATGCTTAATCAGGTATTTAGTCTTTGACAAAGATTTTGAAAGGACAATGAACTTGCAACCTTCTTTGAAAGCTGAAACTTATTGGCCTAAGCTTAACTGCATGTACAGGATACTACGTTTGTAATTGTGCAGGAGGAAAATAATCAAGCCTTACAAAATCAACGATTTCTCTGGTTTGCATGGATGGATTTTCTTGATATTTTCACCAATTATAAACAAGACCATAGGCTTTAAACTAATATAGAATTTAATTAGCTAGTGTGACCACCTTTTGAGAAATTCTTCATGCACAATGTTTATGAGCGCCCTTTTACCTAGCAACGACGTCCCATGGGCGGGACATTTTGTTGATTGACGCGCACCGTTCCTTGTGTGTGACGCGCGTACACCAGGGGATTTGTTCTATGTACACGCAGTGGCCGCGCTTTGCAGCAAATGAATTGCAGTCAGGCAAGATGGCGTCGGTCGGTCACCCCCAACTGTACTTCCTTTGCCGGTGAGGGGGTACTTGTGAATGGAGCGGATATAACATTTATTGGGACACGCTGTAGTCACCATGGATGTCAATTACTGGATGTAATACAATTTTGAATATATATTTTCTTGACGGTTACCCCAGGTCAAAAATTATGCGTACACATCACATGTTCACATGAAACAGAAAAATTATGTGCAAAAAAAAAGACATACCGTTACATGATCTTAGCCTACCCACAATGCTTTGTGAAGAACTGCATTTCCTGCCAAAAAAAAAAGTTTGTGAGAAAAATGGTCACGATGACGATAACATATTTCATACAATTGTCGTTTGTCCAGGTTTATTTACACCATGTTGGGAGGATGGTTTGATTGGTTCATGCTGCTGTATATTCTGACCATACTCACACTCGTCTATGTGGGAATACTACTGGTAAGTACGACTGTAAAACCTATTCAAATATTGACAGATTTACTACCTAGCCGGTTCTAAACAAGTACATTTAAAACCAGTTCAGGACCTAGATGGGATAATGGTCTGAGCCAAAGGCGAGGGTCATTATCGGCATGTAGGCCCCAAGCTGGTTTTAAAGGGAGTATACAACATTTGCAAACATCGAAGAATAAAACAACCAAGTTTTTACGAAATACCTTACTAGGATGTTGGTAAATGACAGTCTAAAGCATCCTGTAAAATAATGGGACCTGGTGTTAAATCATATTCGAGAAATTAATATTTTTGTATACATTTCCAACGGTGGTCGGCGGACCACCGTTGGAAAAACCTGACTTTTGTCAACTACTGCTCCAAATTTACCATTTTTTCAGTGCAAATTTTGTTTGCTATTGGTTACATGTTCACGAACAGGTGCAGGCCAGCTAGACTGATTCCCTTACCTTACAATTTTCCGGCATCTATTAATTGATCCATTTTATCTTTGGTGCAGTCAGGGAACCAGACTACTTGAACATTTTTGTTTGTCTTGGTTTTTCCAGCATTTTCGAGCACAAAACTTCCAACATTTTAGTGCAACAACATTGATCTATTAAACTAATCCCTCAAATAGTTTATTTCTGAAAATTGTAGCAAAAACCAATGATGAACATTCCCTTTAAAAGTACTAAGAACTTGTAAAAAACCGGCCAGGCGCATATTTACTCCCATTCATAAATACCTTTCATTTGAAAAGTCAAAACAAGTCAAAACTTATCAATTTTCAATGATTTTGTTCAACAATTTGACTTCATGTTTTGTGGAGCACGCCTCTAGCTATGTTTATGGTATGTGCCTCGTGCGAGTCGTACTAAAAAATATCCTGGAGATTGGCGCACGCGTGGTGCGTACTGCGCGATGTGCTGCAGAACGCAGCTAGCGATGCCGGTGCAGTGTGAATTCAGGACTATGAAATACAGACTCATTTGTGGTATTGCGCGTGCCTGAGTGAAGATAATTAGGAGAGTGACTTTTCATTTGTGACCGCTCAGCCAATATAAAGGAGTAAAAAGGAACAGATTTTGTAGGAGTCCAAGTTTTATGTGACATTGGAAACAAGTGTTTAAAAACCAGTCGGTGTTTTATCAACCGTTTAAAACCATCCACGTGACGGGCTCTCAACCAATAGGAACAGGTTTAACAACTGTCTTACATGTAGGTATTGAATGAAGAATGGATTTTTAAAGAGGTTGTGGAATGCTCAAAGACATTTCCGTCATATTTTGGGTATATGTAGCCTAAGGTGTGATGAAATAAAAATGACTATTGTTTCTGTCATGAAATGAGTACAAAGGTTACTTTTGAGAGCTATTTTTCAGGTCCTGTTTCGACCCGAACGTGCAATTTGTGTAAAAGTCGTCGTTGCGGGCAGCAAACAAAACACAGTAAATCGTGACGTAATAAGCAGGACTCGTTTATGCTACTCTGCATCGGGAGTCCTGTTTATTACGTCACGATTTACTGTGTTTTGTTTGCTGCCTGCAACAACGACTTTTACACAAATTGCACGTTCGGGTTGAAACAGGCATGACAGGACTTGAAAAACAGCTCTCAAAAGTACCTTTTGTACTCATTTTATGACAGACACAATAGTCGTTTTTATTTCATCACACCTTAGGCTACATATACCCTAAAAATGACGGAAATGTCTTCGAGCAATCCACAACCTCTTTAACCCATTCTTGAGTCCGTCCAGCGTATCCCAATCTGGGAATATAGGGCCCATCTAATGAATATCACTCATTTGTGTTGTATTAAATTACTACCCCGTTCTAGGTATTAGCCATTGCTCACTGCATAACAGGACGGCAGCTATACCTCCATTGGGTCCATAAAATCCCTGTAGTCTTGGTGCTTGCTGCGTGTGTGGTTGTTGTGATTCTTCTCAGCGAGCTTTGGAGGAGTGAATGGGTCTTAGTTGGAATAACATTACAGGTACAAACATAAACCTTTATTTAAAGGTAGGATACAATGTAGGTAATTTGTCATAAGATGGAATTTTGCGTCGGGGTGATATAAATCAAATTAGGTTTTGCCCTTCACCGACGTTTAAACACTGTATACTCAGTGTGTTACCTCCCGATTGAAAGTTGGAAAAAAAATCACTTGGGTGGGACTCGAACCCACGACCTCCTGCTTTCTAGTGCAGATGTCTTACCACTCGACCACCGAGCTAACGGGATCGGTTGGCCGGTTCGAATCTGATCTACATAGCAGCGGGTACCGCATAAATTATTATAAGATGAGTTTACAGTGTTTAAACGTCGGTGAAGGGCAAAAACCTAATTAGATCATTTGTCGTTTGTGTATTTTTTTCGTTTGAAGCAACAAAAGTGCTCACAATCTAAAGAACGGTGCTCTGGCATTTGCCTGCCAAGCGGTTGAGGCAGCAAGCTGGCTACCTACAAAGCAGCGAAGCCACAACCATAAGTGGTGAAAAAAAAAATTTTAAGTGTGAGAAATTGTTGAAACATGTCATGAATTCACCTGTCTCTAGGTGACAGCACCTGTTGTTCAGATAGTTGCTGTGGTGATCCTGACGGTATTAGCCTGGCCGCTCTCCGGACTGTGGTGGGGAAGTCTTCACATAGGTGAGTCGTTTGGTACATTGTGAAGCAGTGCATATTGTTTTGTAATGTGTTGTGACAATTGATAGTGGGGTTTTTTTTGGTGTCAGGAGGATAAGGTCGGGGAGTTAGGTTGGCGTAGCGGTACTTTCCTCGCCTTCCACCGCTGTGACCCGGGTTCGAATCCCGCCTGGGCCAATATGTGGATTGGGTTTTCAGTCCCTGCCTGATTCCGTGGGTTTTCCCCAGAATATTCTTCTGGGCTTTTCCTCCCACCTCTAAAACTGTAATTTCTTCTCATTGTCTTCTCTCCACAGGTTTCTTCAGGCTTGCGAGCTACAGTGTCTAGGGCGCTTTTGAGGAATCCTTGGTTTCATTACCAGAAATGATTAATAATAATAATAATAATAAGTGATCCTAGCAAAAAAAATCAGAATAATTGTTGGTGTTTGTGTTGTTTTATGTCGGACATTCGATTTCATTTGTTGTAATAAGACAACTTCTCTAAACTTGTGTCCTCTGTGTAGCCTACCGGTGCGTTGCCGTCATAGCATACGTCCTCTTGCTGCTGTTTGTGTATCTGTCTCCGCTAATCATGCAAAAACCGTGTGTGGTCAGAACAGAAGACCTACCAACTAAGCCACCAATCATAGCCCACAGAGGAGCCCCACAGGTCAGTCTCATTTGCATAAGTTATGAATATTTAAAGTTTTATATGCAAACGTACTAATTCGATTGGTTTGGGTGACTCAGTTCATTTGAATAAGATATGAATGTTTAAGGTATACATGCAAATTTACTCATTTGCTTGGTTTTGGTGACTCTTTCTAAAAAAAAATAATAGCGTGACCCCAGATGACACGACCTGACCCGGGTCATGGTATTTTTTTTTCTTTCAGCTTGCTCCTGAGAATACCAACATTTCGTACCAGACAGCAGCTGAGTATTCTGTGTATGGATTTGAGACGGACGTAAAAATAAGGTAAGAAATACACAAGTCGTAATGTCGTCCTTTCATCTTCCTCACATCTATCTTCAGTGCTCACTTTATAATGCATCCTTTGCTACCAGTCAGGCTGTTTACAGGTCTGTTTATTGGTCTCTGTGCTTGTCTCTATGTCCACTGTTTTATTGGCCTTTTGCCTGTTCACTCTACTCAGGCATGCAACTTTTCCTCGGATCCGCTATTTCCTCGTTTTAAACTTCTCAAGTATGCCATTACAATTCGAAAAACACTGTACAAAATGTTGTATGGTTCGGAATTTCCTCGTTTTTTGTAAATTCCCAGTTGCATCCATGTCTACTTCCCCCTCCCCCCCCCCCCCCCCCCCAAGCGTCTTATTGAATTCTCAGGAAAAATTCTATGTTAAGGTTATTCTCGGGTCATGCACAGTTACTGATTTCAATCCTACTGCATAGTAATTACTTTATCTGGTTGTCACTTCTCTGTTACGATGACATATATGTATACCTCAATCAGTTTTTCCAACCAGTCAACAGCTGATCTTTTTCTTATAGACTTGATGCACAGCGGCCAGTTGTTGAATTCCATCTAATCACGCTTGATTCTCACACTTGACAAATCTCAGGGTTGACGCAGGGTTGAAGAATGCGGTCTTTCACACTTAAAAATTTTCTACCCTGCGTCAACCCTGAGATTGCTTTCTTCCAGGGTTGAACTCAACCCTGCTCCAGACCAGGGTCGTGATTTTCGACCCGGGTTGAAACTCTCGCCAGGGTTTAAAACAGTAGAAACCAAGTGAAAGAAGCTCGGTTTGCACAAAACAAGAGTGAAACGATGCGGGGTTGAACGCGGGGTTGAAATTTTTTTTACAAAAATCAGCACGGGACGGCACTGGGTTTACCCAGGGTCAAGTTCAACCCAGGTTGAGATGCTCTAGTGTGAAAAGGCCTTAAATGTCTGTAATTTTTTATGTCAGGCATCAATTGACCTTTTCCTCAATCAAATCACAAGTCATTTCCCCCCCCCCCCCTCTCCCTCGAAGTCTTAAGACGTCCGCAGATTAAAACCGTACTGCATCAAGAGTTTTACATTCCTTTTCTCTCTCTCTTCCAGCTGGGATGGTGTGCCCTTCTTAATGCACGACAGTACTCTTGCAAGAACCACCAACGTGCATGAAGTGTTTCCAAACAGAACGGACAAATTGTCGGAGAGCTTCACCTGGGAAGAATTACAGCGATTGGACGCTGGCTCCTGGTTTCTGCAGGTATGACATCGCACAGAGACTAAAAAGGATACACGAAATGAATTTGTCTTAGTTATTTATTGAGTTATGGCCAAGGGCGGATCCAGAACACAATTTTTTGGGGGGCCCAAAAAAATTTTGCTCCCCAAAAAAGTGGGTCAAAAAATTTTTGGATTCTAGATGCTCTGTGACGCGATCTGAGGCAATTTCTGACCACTTTAACCAATGTTTTTTGAGGAAAAGATGGTGATGTACTCATTGCCTGCCTTTATTGCGACGTCACATAAAAACAAAACAAAATTGGTTTCGTTTTTTGGGGGGCCATGGCCCCCTTTGGCCCCCCTCCGGATCCGCCCTTGGTTATGGTCAAGTAATTGAAATAAAAGGCTGAAATTTCATTTTGACCACAGTTTTAATTGTCAATTTATCAGGAATATAACCCTAACCCTATCGGGTATTCTGCTAAATGCAACAATATCCAAGTCCACTCAAATGAGAACCCTGCTAAATGCAACAAAACTGCAACATTGGATTTTGTTGCATCGTGCAGTGAACCCTGTTCTTATTGTGTCGGTCACATAGGGATGTGTGTGAATTGTTATCGTTTTGCCGAAAGAACGCACACCTATTTTTGTGATCCGTGGACAGAACTTTAAAACGGTGGTTGTGTTTCAAATTCCGTAACTTGACAAGTACATGAGTGATTTGAATGCTTTTTTGTACTAAAAGAAAGCTTATGAATTGTGCTTTCATATCCTAGAGTTGCAAAGTGCTACATGCAGAGCTTCACTAAAACAATAGTCCCGACATTTGGGTTTCCCTTTTTTTGACTCGCCCCTTTCTTCATTTTTTCTCTGTGTAATTTCAGCGGGACCCGTATCACAAGCTGAAATACGTGCCTGAGAAGACCAAGGAGAAATACAAACAGCAGAAGATTCCAAGTTTTCAGGACTTCTTGAGGCTGGCTATCCAGTACAACAAGTCCGTCGTCTTTGACTTGAGTAAGCCGCGGGAGGGACATCATTTCAGACATAATTACACGCAGGTGGTCGTCGACATCATCCTGGCTTCGGGAATCCAACAAGAAAAGGTAGGTGAATCAAACCGAAACGTCCCGACTCTTCAGATTCGTCTGGAACACGAATATATTTTGAATTTTGGTACAAGCGTCTTTAAAAATCAGTGTGGTAATTCGATAAATTTGGACGTGCATGTCCGACACTTTAATGAGCTGCTGTTGGAAAAGTGAATGTGATACATCACGTATAAAGTGACATATAATGAGTAAAAAACAATTTCAGACCAACCATCAAAACTGATTCCAATGTAGCTGCTGGCCGTATGTTGTGTCCTTGGGCAAGCCACTTTACCCCAACTTGCCTCTCTCCACCCAGGAGTATAAATGGGTGCCAGCATTAGCTGGGGAGTAAACTGCGATGGACTAGCATCCCATCCAGGGGGATTAGACATATATTCTCAGTCGTTTCATGCTACTGAAACCGGAGATGAAGGCCGGTCTGATGGGCCGTATTAGCTCGTGGCAGACTTTACTTACTTTATACTTTATCTTTGTTACAAATTCGTTCCAGATAAATTTGATAAATGAGTTGATTAGCAGGATTTTGTGTGTGTGTTCTATACTATTTTGAGGCCGGGTGCTGTGGTCCAGTGGTTACGGTGTTCGATTCGTGTGCCGTGGTACATGAGTTCGAATCCTGACCATGGGAACATGGTGCTTGTGCTCTTGAGCAAGGCACTTTATCATTATTGCTCTGTCCTTCGGATGGGACGTAAAGCCGTAGGTCCCGTGTGTTGTGTAATGCACGTTAAAGAACCCAGTAACACTTATCGCTAAGAAAAGGGGTTTGCCCCGGTGTTTCTGGCAGTGGCTGCAATATGTGCCGCAGCACCTTGTCAACCCTTATAAGGTGCTACATAATGGGTCGCATATTTCTCATACACTTTATTTACCTTTCTTTAATAATAGACATAATTTCCAGCGCCTTGAGTACCTAATTGTTGGTAGATACGTGCGCTATCTAAGACTCCGTTATTATTATAATATTATTTCAGGTCTGGTGGCTACCGAATGAAAATCGGACTTGGGTCGAAGAAAAAGCACCGGGATTCATACAGACAGCTGAAGGCAGATACGATGTTAACATACTTCTTAATGAAAACATCGGTAATGTCAATGCGATGTATTCAGAAGTCAACCAAGATGACATCAGGTTAGAGAGACTAATAGGAGTTATAAACTTCTTAATGAAAACATCAGTAATGTCAATGCGATGTATTCAGACGTCAACCAAGATGACATCAGGTTAGAGAGACTAATATGAGTTATAAACTTCTTAATGAAAACATCAGTAATGTCAATGCGATGTATTCAGAAGTCAACCAAGACGATATCAGGTTAGAGAGACTAATACGAGTTATAAACTTCTTAATGAAAACATCAGTAATGTCAATGCGATGTATTCAGAAGTCAACCAAGATAATATCAGGTTAGAGAGACTAATACGAGTTATAAACTTCTTAATGAAAACATCAGTAATGTCCATGCGATGTATTCAGAAGTCAACCAAGATGACATCAGGTTAGAGAGACTAATACGAGTTATAAACTTCTTAATGAAAACATCAGTAATGTCAATGCGATGTATTCAGAAGTCAACCAAGATGATATCAGGTTAGAGAGACTAATACGAGTTATAAACATCTTAATGAAAACATCAGTAATGTCAATGCGATGTATTCAGAAGTCAACCAAGATGACATCAGGTTAGAGAGACTAATGCGATTTGAAAACTGGATGACACCCCTCTCCCCCCCTCCCCCCAAATGGCGGCAGGTTCACTTTTTCCTCGCAATTGATATTTAAGTTTTACTCAAAATGTGTATGTTTGCGCCATCTTTGGGAAAAAAAATTCTTTGGTCATGCAGGGATACTTCGACAGGAAATATTTAGCAGAAGCTCCATCATGCACTACTTTATAGCCTATGTATTAGTCGTCACATCGCATGTCGCGGTGTCGTTATTCTGGTCTGCTCCGTAGTTGTAGCGGTGGGCGCGGCGTACAGCTAGTTGCCCGGTCTAGTCTCCACGCAATCTATCCGAAAGATCAGGAAGGCGACGTCGTGTTAGTACAGGGCCCAATTTCACGGCGCTGCTTAACAGTTAGCAGGAAAGTTGTGCTTAGCATGGTAGAAAAATGTTGCTAACCTTAAGCACTATTTCACGGCGTGTGTGTGTTAACGGTCGTGCGTGCATGGAGATTTCTATTGTTCCGTAACTAAGTTAAGTACATTTTTCCTCTGAGGTAAGCGTGCCTTTTGCTTTGCTTATGTTTACGGTCTCCATGAAATAGACGAAGGGTCTGTCGGCAAAAAATTGTGTGCTGAGCAGCGTCGTGAAATTGGGCCCAGTGGTACAGTGTATGTGTAGCTACTGTGTACATTGTATGTACCTAGCTAGTTGCAGCACTTGGTCAGTCGAGTGAGATGATATACAAGTAACGAATGTTTATGAGTGCAATGGTGAGTTCGCCTCGTTGAATGGAACATTCAATCTTTCAACTCATGAAAATATTCTCACCATTGCACGAATGCAAAACATTCATTATTTGTTTTATATAACATCCAAGTAGATCTTTGTCATTCGATTTGAGGATAAAACTTTAAGAACAAACAAAACTCACAAATTGTATCATATCCACTACTTTTTTCCAGGCTAGCTACGGGCTTGGGAACGAACACCTTCCTTATTGTAATAATGTTTATAATATTTTTGCTCGATAGATTATATGCGGAGAATAGCATCAACACCAGTATCTATGTCATCAACACACCCGGCTTATACTCGGTGTATTGGTGTGTCGGTGCACATACGATCACCAGCAGCGCGAGCCAGGATCTGTATGACATTCAGTCCCCTATTTGGCACATGGTAAGACAACTGAGGGATTCCTGGAAGCACTTCCTACTTACTGGAAGCGCTTCCTGCTTACTGGAAGCGCTTCCTGCTTACTGGAAGCGCTTCCTGCTTACTGGAAGCGCTTCCTGCTTACTGGAAGCGCTTCCTGCTTACTGGAAGCGCTTCCTGCTTACTGGAAGCGCTTCCTGCTTACTGGAAGCGCTTCCTGCTTACTGGAAGCGCTTCCTGCTTACTGGAAGCGCTTCCTGCTTACTGGAAGCGCTTCCTGCTTACTGGAAGCGCTTCCTGCTTACTGGAAGCGCTTTCCTTAACCCTAACTCCCCAGGCCTTTTTGGGGAATGCGAGATCGTTAAAGTCAAGTGTCACTCACCCCAATTCTGTTCCGATGTTTGTGTCTGGTACTGTCCAACTGTTCTCCCGCACGGCGGCTGGCCGAAGATGTTGCCTCGACTACCGCGAGACAAAACCGGTGCTAGTCCCGCGAGTATATATTTACAAACGTTCCCAAGGTTACCGACGGACGGACGGACGAAGACGACGAGAATTAACTAACTAGTATAAAACTTGGAATTGTTGACGAATAACGATGATAAACTGGCAAAAACTTGGCACTTCAAAATTACAGGAACACGACGATATTAAGACGTTTGAAAGAAGGGCCTTTCCTTCGCACGTGTTTGTGAACCAACAAAAAATCTGTGTGAAACACGTATTATGTACAGGTACCAGCGACACGCGAAAGTGCTGACAGGTCAAAGTATGACGAAATGCTGACAAAGGTCAGAGTTCGCGCGGGGTGGTCACCACACCTTTTTGCTAGGATGTAGTCTCAATCCTGTGAAATCCTCCAATTAGCCTCATGGAAAAATAGCAGTGGAGGGGTGATCACTGCCTGAATCCTGCAATATCCTGCGGCAGTGACTGTCAATATGTTGAGGCTTGACCAGTGACATCCTGGAGCAGCATGGAAGATGTCAAGCATAGTCCAGGCCTATATTTATGCACGGCTGAGCAAAAAAAACACAAGGTCCGGCCCAAGACCTTGACAAAGTGCATCCTACGAAATCAGTGATGCACTTTTGCCATGTAACCTCAATTCTCCAAATTCCTCCACTTTGGCAAAGAGGATTTAGAAGGATTCAGGGCGGTTAGGGTTAAATCAGTTAACCCTTTCCTCACCATGGGCGACTTTTGTTGACAAGGAATTACCCCCTGCTGCTTACCATAAGCAAGTTAGTCGACCAGGAAGCCACACACAGAACACCCTCAACACAGATATATTCACTGCTTTTCAGCAAGCTGGTATGTTGGTGTGTTTGGCCACCCATACATCAACCCTATACCAGCTGAAAGAGTGTTTTCAGATCGTTCTAATGGCGTAGTTTATTCATATTGTTAACATTACACAAATTTAAGAGAAGAGTGATGCGATCAAGCTAAGTGAGTCGTCACTTCGACACTGGTCATTTTTTAAAAAAGATTTGAAAAGAGAACAATATCAGCATTACTGCTGTGAAAACTGCATGCTGATACCACATTTAGTTCCAAAATTATGCAAGTCGGAACTTCAAAAGATGTGATGAAGTAATGTGATGAAGTGGCTATATTTTGGCCTGAATCGCCAAATGAAAGTTCCCAACAAAAAACGAATTTAGCTTGATCGCATCACAAATGCTTCAGAAGTATCCATGCGCAACTTGAGGTATGGAGTGCCATTTGGTCATGTGGTGAACTGGCTTGCAGTTTGATACCTGGGAACCGATCAACAAACGGGCATAACTTCCCTACTTTTGCACATTATGGCCTTGATTTTACATCACATAAAAGAGTAAAGTTCAAGGAACAAAGCTTAGGCCAAAAAAAAAAAAAACTCGGTCTCTGGTCAGACCAAAGTTCCGGAATTGATGCAGCGACGCGGCTTTTTTTTTTTTTCAAGCTTGGATTGTACAGACAAGGTGGGGTACTATTTTGCTTTTTTGGGTGTCCTCATGTACATTGGTGTCCTCCATAATTTGCCTTGGTGAAATTTCCCATTCCTTGGTGCTCTTTGGTAAAAAAGAAATTGAGGAGGTGCGGCAATAGAGGACGCTGTTGGAGCTACCGGGGAACATTTTGGGAAAAAAAAGATTGACGCGCATGATTAAAAGCGACGTGCGCGCTGACTAAAGACCGACTATTTTTTTGTTTTGGCCTTACCCACATTACCTTTTTTCTTCTGTTTTTTCCCCCCATTTGTCCAGACGCCGACTGCATTCCTAATTGTGAGCATAGTGATTGGCGTGGCGTCTGCTGTCTGCGTTCTGACTATATTTATCGTTCAGAGGTAAGTGTTTCTGTAGAAATCAGCTTCATCTGTTACTGAAAGAGGTGATTCTCACGCCGGCCTCAGGTCGGCCTTCGGTTTGCTTGCGCAAAGATGGAACTGTCGGCGTCAAGCAGAAAAGTAACGCTCATGTCACAGTTTCCCTGAGAAATCATGTGATTCTCGTGGAGCAAGCGGCATCTCGACATAAAATAATTGCAGCCATGCTCATATCAACCACAACGCAAACAACGTTTTGTCCTTGGGCAAGCCACTTCATCCCCACTTGCCTCTCTCCACCCAGGAGTATAAATGGGTACCGGCATTAGCTGGGGAGTAACCTGCGATGGACTAGCATCCCATCCAGGGGGAATAGAAATATTCTCAGTCGTTTCATGCCACTGAAACCTGGAGATAAACGCCGGCCTGATGGGCCACATTGGCTCGTGCCAGACTTTACTTTTACTTTTTGTTTTGAACATTGAAGATCCGTAATTTTTAATTCCTGTTTCGTTTTTTTTTTTTTTTTTCAAATTTCTGTCCTAAGATGTCGTCATCCTGCCAGAGAGGTCAACCCTGAGTCCATATCACTCCATTCCCCTCGGCATTTTGCCAGCAGCACCACGAAGAAGAGCGATCGCGAATTACTCTATCGCACAAACGAAGACACGACGTTTAATCCTGCGCACGCACCCGGCAAAAACATACAGGTAAGTCAGATCAAAGATGGCAGCAGGGTCAGGCAAGCAGTTGTTTTTTTTCTGCAACCTGGTATAGTCAATGACCATAGTGCGCGTGCGTCAGTTGGTAACGAGAGGTTCTCGGACTTAAATGTAGAGTCCATCATTTGTAATTTTGTGCATTATGTTCGTTTGAAGCAACGAAAGTGCTTAAAATCCAAAGAAGGGTGCTTTACAACTAACCTGATGAAGTTTTAGCTCATGCTGTATATTCTGAGAAACCATATTCTAGGATCGAAATTTGAAATCAATAGTTGCCGAGTCATGTTTTGGAATGTGCCCGAACGTCAGCATCCGGGACACGTTCTCATTCAGCTGATTGCAGCTAGGTGATGTCGCGTACTGAACCGACGAGTTATAGCAACCGCGTGTGCGTCGTGTCAATGCTTGCGTGCACTTCGCCCAAGTTAAAAACAAACTGCTAACGAAAATTTCCAAAATTGGGTCTTTAAACACATCTTTGGAAATGGCCTTCTTACATTGTTATCTTCAAAATGACAGCATGCCAGAGGGAATAATTTCACAGGGAGTTTAGCGTAACTACTATAAACTAACTAACTTTAAACCAAGTATTCTTTTCAACAACAATTTTGTCAGTTACTTTTTGGAGACAACTTGCTTTTGGGGGGGGGGGAATGAAAATGTCAAATTGCCATCGGGCACTCTACATCACAAATGGCAGCCATCTTGAAACTTTAAAGATAAACCATTTCATGCAAATTGATCGTACTGAATGCTTGCATTCTATAAGTTTCATTCTGTTTTCAATTTTAAAAACTTTACTTTTTAATGTCGTCATGTGTCCTTCCTTTGAATTTTTCCAGTTTGTTTGTATTTCCACATTCATTTCTTGTTTGAATTTATTTGCAGATCTATTCCCTTGTCAGGTTTTTTTTTAGTCCTTCTTAATTGTGACCTGTTCTGTCAAAATCAGACTTTTCTGGGCATAAGGTCAAAAATGAGATTTTTGCATATTGTTAAAATATGTTCTGTTTCCTTTTAATAGGTGGTTTAATTTTTGAAACCGGTCATTCCTGCGCAAAGTTATGCTATTTTGAAGTTCATTGGGTCGAAAAGTAGAAAACAGAGAAAATGGACACGAACGTCACAAAACAGACATTTCTTTAATTGATATACCTTAACAAATCATCAAAAATACTATAATTGAGATCAAATTAGGGTTTCAAACTTTTATAGTATATTTTAGACATGCTCAGGATTACAAATATGCAAAAATTAGAAAATGGAAAAAAATCACCCCCACAGCGTTTTTTGGCCCTATCTCAATTTCAACCTCTGCCCAGAAGCGTCTGCTTTTGACAGAACAGGTCACAATTTTGGTTCTTTGTGATTTACTTTCAGCACTTTTGATTTGATTTTGTTGTATTTTTGTTTGCATGGTGTATTTGTTTTTGTTTAACCAATAGATAGGCAGTATTCCTAAGGATGGGGAGACGCCTCCAACAGTGGTATGAACCTTTCACAATTGAAAGCACTTTTCACGTATTCCTGCTTAAAATGTTCCTAGTTCAACCAAAAGTTCCAGTGATTGAATCCTTAAATAATAAACAGACTGGTTTAAAAAGCTGAGGAGAGGTATCTTGCTATTATAAACGCTGCAAACTGAGGCAAAACGTCTTTGTGAAATGACACTGCCTGAAACATGACATTCACAAATGAAAAATCTTTTCCATGTATAAATTCATTAAAGGTAGAATAAATCAAATTACGTTTTGTCCTTCACCGACGTTTGAACACTGTATACTCAGTGTGTTACCTCCGAGTGAAAGTTGGAAAAAAAATCACTCGGGTGGGACTCGAACCCACGACCTCCTGCTTTCTAGTGCAGATGTCTTACCACTCGACCACCGAGCTAACAGTGGTCGATACCTAATTTGATTTATATCACCCCAACACAAAATTCCATCTTATAAAGGTAGAGTAGATCATAAGTAATTTCTGCATATTTTTTTCTTCTCTTGAGCCAACGAAATTGCTCGAAATCTAAACATGGATGCTTAGACCCCCAAAAAATAATAGTTCTGCTTCCGGTTACCCTACCTACCCTTTTTTGACAGCCCCTACCCTAATGAAAAATGAGGGGACCCCCCCCCCAGCCCATGCAGTGCCACCACCCCACCCCACCCCCACCCCCCCCCACCCCACCCCCCCACCCCCACCCCCACCCCCACCCCCACCCCCCCCCCCCCCCCACCCCACCCCCCCACCCCCCCCCCCCACCCCACCCCCCACCCCACCCCACCCCCGCTCTTATCATTGTGTGAACCTCTCTTTCATGTCTTTATTTCTGTGAAGGTTTTGCATGCCGTTGAGAAGGATGAACTCTTGAAAAAGCAAGACGCCTGCACTACCTGCTAATTATGCAAATCATGCAAATTATGCAAATAAGGGTAGAGACACATTTGTTTTCATATTCAGTCGGGGTTAAGTTTAATTTTTTGTTGAAACATGTATTTGGTTGAGACACCATCAAAACAATGTGCTCTGAAAATCTGCCTTAAAAAAAATTGGGCCTATAAAAGTATTTAGATTTGCAGATGAATTTACTGTAAGAAATACAGGGTGTGTCAAGAAAAATGTAGCAGTCAATCCATAAATATTAGAAATACTAGCATTCCTTTGCAAAACTTATCTGTAGATTCTGAAGGTGTAGTAAATACTCTACACAATGGTTTTTATCCCATCTCATTTGGACAACCTAGTCCAGGGATACAGCTAATTAAACGAAAGGACTTGAACTCCAAGTTGGGCCACTTTTTATGTCCATTTGCCAAATACCAGTCTTAAACTTTGTGTCGTACTTTATTTCAACCAAACAAGTGCAATTTCATTTTATCAACTTAACATTCACGTAAAAAACGTGACTGTTGTTACGCTTTTGAACCAAAAAAAATGGACTTTAAAGTAAATAAAGTAAGACATAATGGTGTTCATGTCACAGAATTGCAACTCATAAAGCTGTTGTTCTGAAATCGTTGTTCTGAAATCGTTATCAAATGCTGAACAGATAAAGATTTCTGAACGATACAAAAGTGGCCCAAACACATTTTGACGGTCTTGACAAGCTTGGTCGTAACTTATAAAACAAAAGGTCCAAATCACACATAACAAAAATCCTGTCAAGGGAAAAGAAACTCTCTATCATCTCATAGTAATGTTTTTGCCAACAAAAATGAAAAAAACAAACATTTAGTTTTCCCAGAAAAAAAATGGTGTTTGACTGCTACATTTTTATTTTGGGAGACATGCTGTATGGGTGCAGTTGTTTTATCCTGCTTTGATAATCACCACTGATCAAATTGTCCAAATTTGTTGTCATTTTTTTTTGGTTTTTGGGTTTGTTTTTTTTACTCCACGTGAATGTGTCAGTTGCAGTTGAGTAGTTTTATTTCAGCTTCTTTTCTTTTTCTTTTTTTCTCTTTTTTTTTGTGCACTTTACTTTCAATTTCATTAGTTTCTTTTGAGCTGTATCTTTTTGCTGTTTCCTGTTGCCCTTGTAAATTTATTGCCATGTTTTTAAAAAGCAAAGCTTTCACTGCATTTTCCAAGCTGCTCTTGTTTTAGCGTTTGAAAGTAACGGAGGTTAGTTGTTTTACCACTGTTTACTGTAGATAACTTATTGCATTTGTATGTGTTTACCTTTATTTTTCCCCAGCTGGAAGAAGAAGAGCCACCTGTGTACGAAGATGATTTGGAGACAATGGGAGTAAGTTCAGCTGCTGGACCAGCCAACATTCACCAGGAGGTCAAGATGCAGTTAGAGTGAAACGCCAAGCATGGTCCTTCCAGTAATGGTTGTCACTCCCTGTGGTCTCTCTGTTTGGAGGCTGTTCGGTACTGGAATGTGTACTACAGCGACGAAACCATTTGTGACATCATCATGACATCATTTGTCAACTACAACAATTACGTTCCTTGCCAGAAATGTCATTCCCTCTGTTCCAAATGTGCAAATTCCTGTCATTATTGTGAAATTATGTGCAAATCTCCGTCATTTTATACCGCATGTTTCCAAATTACAGATATCAAAATATTTAATACACTTTTGAGGCGAAAGAGAAAAAGTCATATGGCAATATGTAATTTCATTCTTGTTCCAGCCTTTTCCTGATATATTTTTCAGCATCCTCAAGGTGTGTGCATTTTTTTTGAATTATTTTTCAATTTTATATGTCTTAAGAAGTTCAGTAAAGTATACAGTTGTGCACTGCATGCCAACCATAGAGCTAAATTACTGGACCGCTAACTTGCTGAACAAAATGAAGCCTGCTGGGCCCGTTCATGTTTGTGCACAAACCTATGAAAAAACCTGGTTTTAGCACAGGTATTTGCATATCTGCCTTTATATCCTATACCGGTCCGTTATCGAAGCCGATACGCCCGAAACCGAAACGCACAATCAGTAAATGAGCGTTTCCTTTTGCTCTGCGCAAACAGTGTAAATGCAAACATTATTCTTGCGCGTTGCATTTTGAGTACATTATCCGAAATTCATTCCATCTTTGTTATGTTCTGCAAACACGCACATGAGTTCAAAATGCCTGCGCTCGGGACGGCTTCAAAGTATCTCCGCGGGGAATGAAGAGTTAGCGCTCTAATAATTTAACATAGCACTGTGGTGCCAACATACTCCTTTCAACTATTAAAGGTATAGTCCATCATTTGTAATTTGTGCATTTTGTTCGTTTGAAGCAACAGCAGTGCTCAAGATCTAAAGAAGGGTACTGAACAACTAACCCGATGAAGTTTCGTCTCAGCTTCAGCTGTACATTTCGAGAAAAACAACATTCTAGGATCTCGATTTCGTTTTGAATTGGGCCTGAATTCAGCGTCCGAGACACGTTCTCACTGAGCCGATTGCAGCTACGCGATGTCCGCACCGATCCGACGAATTACAGCAACCCCGTGCGCGTGTGCGTTGTGCCAATGTTTGTGCGCGCTTCGCCGAATAACAAAACGAACTACTAATTTGAATTTCCTATGGTGCGTCTTAAGACGCACCGTTGGAAAGGCCTTCTTTTGTTGATTTCTTCAAAATGACAGCTTGCCAGAAAGAATAATATCACAGGGAGTTTAGTCCCCTTACTATCTTTCAACCAAGTATGTTTTTCAACAATAATTACGCCAGTTACTTTTTTGGATAGTTGCAAATGATGGACTCTGGCTTTAAGTAAACACAAATGAGTAATTTCAAGCGTCACAAGAAAAACTGCAATTATTAAAATAAAAGATGCTAACCTTTTTGTTTTTAGCTGGCAGTGTACAAAATTCCCGATATCCGATCATGTCGAAACAAATTGTTCACCTAGCACCTTTATAGTCAGCAATTATGTATTTCAGTAGAAAAGTATGCAATGATCTTAAGATATTTATTATGAAGTAGTTATTGTGAAACCATAACCGCAGATTTTTCGACAATTTTCAACTATTTTTGTTACGGGCAAGCAGAATACTTAATATATTATAACTGAAAGCACCTATATGCATACACATAGCATATCTGAGTAATATATTGTTTCAGATTATTCCTCCTCCCGTTTGATAAGCTCCGCCCATAATGAAGGCCAACTCTGTTCAATTACTTGTGTCTCTTTATTATGTAGGGTATATACAGGGTGAGTTAAAAAAAAAAAAAAAAGGACACCCAATGGCGCCCCTTAATTTTAAAAGAAATTCTGCATGTAGCACTTCTCAGGATGTGAAAGCTCAATTATAATTTAAATAAGGTTTCTTTTAGTCAAAGAATCATTCAAGTCACTTATGAACTTTTCCGGTTACAGAATTTTGAACACAAACACAGTTTTTAAGTTTTGTCCACAGATCACATTTAAAGGGAATATACATCATTTGCTTTTGCTGTAATTTTCAGAAATGGTTGGAATTGTGGGGTTCGTATTATATAGCAAATATTGTTACAGTGACTTTTTTGAAGTTTTGGGTTCGAAAATGCTATAAAAACTAAGAAAACCTTCATTTTCCTGTAGTCTGGTTCCCTGACTCCATTTAAGAAGAAACAGCAGTTTATGTACATTGGGGAATTGTAAGATCAGGGAACCAGTCTAGCTGGCTTGTACCTGTTCATAGGTGTGTAATCGTTTACAAACAAATGTGATGGTCACTTGGGGCCAGTATTTGAAAAAAAAGAAGTTTTTTTCCAACGCTGGTCGGCTGACCAGCGTTGGAAATTGATACAAAAAATACCACTTTTCTTGAAAATGACAGTACACCAGGTGCCATGATTTTACAGGATGCTTTACACTGTCATTCACCAACAGTCAAGCAAGGTATTTCAAAATAATTAGATAGTTTTATTTTTTGATGTTTGCAAATGTTGTATTTTCCCTTTAAGGTACGTGATATTTCAGTAAAATGAAACCATGTCGCATCATGAACAACGATATCAGAATGATCCCATAAGTCTCCGGGGTAGCCAAGTAGAAGGCAGGGCAGGGCTATAAACGCTTGACATTATAAAGAATGTTGTTTTAACATTTGGAGCAGAAGGTGTTTAAATAAAGGTTATGATAAGTGCCAGTTATCGTGGTTATGAGAGTGTTCTGTTATGAGAGTGTTTTTGATATGTTAATTGTTTTTATTTTGCTGAAATATCACTTACCTTTTTTGTGATCTGTGGACAAAATTTGAAAATGTATTTGTGTTTTAAAATCCATAACTGGAAAAGTACATGAGCGATATGAATTATTCTTTTACTAAAAGAAAGCTTATTAATTGGGCTTTCATGTCCTAGATCTGAAAAGTGCTACTAGCAGACATTCTTTAAAGGGAATGTACATCATTGGCTTTTGCTGTAATTTTCAGAAATGAATTATTTAAGGGGTTAGTATAATAGATCAAATATTGTTATACTCACATGTTTGAAGTTTTGTGTTCGAAAATGCTGGAAAAACCAAGAAAAACAAAACTGTTCAAGTAGTCTGGTTCCTTGACTCCACTAAATATAAAATGGATCAATTTACAGATGCCGGATAATTGTAAGGTAAGGGTACCAGTCTAGCTGGCCTGCACCCGTTCATGAACATGTAACCAATAGCAAACAACATTTGGACTGAATTAATGGTAAATTTGGAGCAGTATTTGAAAAATAGTTAGGTTTTTCCAACGGTGGTCGGCTGACCACCGCTGGAAATTTTTACAAAAATACCATTTTCTTGAAAATGACTTCACACCAGGTGCCATAATTTTACAGGATGCTTTAGACTGTCATTAACCAACATCCTAGTAAGGTATTTTGCAAAAACTTGGTAGTTTTATTTTTCGATGCTTGCAAATGTTGTATATTCCCTTTAAGAAATAGGGGGCGCCATTTTGGGCTTCCTATTTTTTTTTTACTCCTGTACACACACCTGTTGTTACCACACACAAAAAAGTTTTATAAATAGATTGCTTTTAATAGTTTTCTTCATAGAGGTTTTCTTTAGGATGTAACAAGGTATTCCGTTTTTTTATCTTCATATTGAAGGCTTCATAAAATAACTTCATGGCTTTTATCTCAGGTGCAGATTTTTTTTTTTTAATTTAAGGTATGAAAATGTCGAATTTATTTTTATCACTTCCATTTTTGTATGTTAATGCTTTCATTGTTGGGGGTATTCTTAGTTAGGCCAAGTAAAAAAAAAAGAACAGTTTCTCGTCTGGACTTTTTGAGAAAAGGGAGGAGGCCCTTTTTTTCTTCTTCTTCAAGATGGCGGATTTTCCATCATTGATTCTTCTACTTTCTAGACTCTTTTACTGACACTTTTGCGTCCAGTGAGCCGTCCAGTGTAATGCCTTAAAACAGGTTCTTAATTTGCATACAAAGCTACCATTTTACTGGAAGGACGTAAACAACTAAATACATGTATATTGCAAATGATCAGGCATGCAACTTTTCCTCGGATCTGCCGATTTCCTATTTTTTTTTACTTCTCATGAATGCCATTACAAATTGAAAAACATTGTACAAAGTTGTGTGATTTGGAATTTCCTCCTTTATTTCTAAATTCCCAGTTGCATGCCTGAAATGATTGATTAAAAAAAAGTTGCAGCTGGGAAAGAAAGGAGAAACTGGTTTATTTTTTACTTGGCCTGATCTTAAGATATAATTGTCATAAATTATTTTGTTTACTTTTTCTATCATAAAAAGCTTCATACACGAACCACACAAGGTATTTGGAAATCATGTATCATACATTTGTTAAATTTTAAAAAATCAATTGATATTTTCAGCTGACATGTACAGTGATGTTTGGTATAATAATGTTTGTTATAACAACATCAAAATTATGGATATAGATACAAATTGTCATACTTTCAAACATTTTCGGCAATCATAAATATTATTATTGCTATAAATTTGTATCTACTTAAATTTGTAAAATTTCAGCCAGTGCACGCTAGCAATACACGGATGTACATTTTCCCTTGTCATGTAAACAATATCTTTTAATTAATTATGCAAGAAATCTACTAAAATGCAAGATAACATTTTTGTTCGGGCCTTTATCTTAATAAGTCCACTTTGATTAAATCAAGATTATAAAAACTAGCTTAGAAACTTAGGCAAGATTTCAATCATTCTTCAAGTAATTATGATCTGTGAAACGAAATATTTGAAAAGCAATTTTTTTTTATGAAACAACTCTCATAAAAGGGACTCGTCATGTGTGGGATTGTCGCAATTTTATTTTGCTGATAGCCGATAGAGGGCGGTATTTGGACCACGTGAATTTTCAGACAGTATCCTCGTAGCGCACGAACTTCGCATTTCAGGTTGCCTGTATGATTAATTAAGGAAATTCACCATTTTACTTGTAACTTAAAAGATTCAAGGAAATCACTCGTTCTGTCACAAAATCAATTTTATTTTATGTTAATAAAATGAAGTGGTGAACTCTGACAAAATATGCGTTGCCTCATTGTTTTCAATCACTTGTTACTAAACAAGTAGTTTTTTGCAAGTAAAAGAATATAGGGCCTATGTATAGATTTTCCCGGCTATTTTAAAAAAAAGTTCACATGCTTTAACTAAACCAATCTAGTCATTTACTATTCAATTTCAAAGTTTGGTCACCCTCTTTAGTCACCGGGTCGAGAAAATTCATCATTACAGATCAAATTCGTCTAAGCTGTTTGCCAAATGGCAGCATTCAGAAATCAAATTCGTCTTAT